CCAACCGGTTTGGCAGGAGCACGTGCGAGATACGTGAATATGGACAGTGCGCAATCAATTTCCGGACACCCTGTACAAACGCGAGCCAGGGCTTAGCTTTCGCGATCAAAAGCAACATACCCATACATACATACATACATACATGTTACAACATACCTCACCCGGCTCTGATACAACATGTACCTAGCCGCCATCTTGGAAAAAAACATCCTCGTGCTCAAAAAACAGCGGACAGCTGGAGAAATCCGTTTTCACTCACGCAGCCTTAGAACCTACCCTCACAGGGGCGTCGCCACGGATTTTTGAGTGGGGGGGTCGGGTTTCTAGTCTTCACCCGATGGGTAGGGGTGTTTTTTTTTGCCACACTTCCCAGTTTTGTGCGTGCGTATGTGTGTGTGCGCGCGTGTAACAAATCGGCGCGCAGCGCCGCGAAATTTGGTATAACCTATTAGGTAGGTATACCTACCTACATCACTTGCGTAAAAATTATCACTGGTCACTTAAGGTCAGGTCGCCATGTCAAGTTCAGTTATACGGTATACCTCTATCAAACTTTCTCCTCTCGCCATTCTTGTAGCTTTTCTCCCATAACTTCGAAATTTGGTACACTATATACCTAATGTATGGGGTTATACGTATCAGCAATTCATTATTCTGAGGATTTGCATCTATGATCTGGAGGCAGGTCAAATACGTGACCTCATCATTAGAAAATAATGAGAAATTAGAAAAGCACGAATGCCTCCTGCTTTGAAAAAGTTCGTCAGAAACGCAAAATATCTTTGGAGCCATGACAAATCTGCTCATCATTGCCAGGGACAGGGTGCAACTTATAATGGCGAGTGATGTCTCGAAAGGTCATTAGTGGAAATGTCCATCGATGGCCACCAGCATTTTTTCTACAACTTTTGACGAAGACGCGGTAGAGCGATGACAGCACCTGGAAGGTGTTCACTGTTCAGCTCAACAACACGGATCCATTCATATGCAGCAGGAGGTCCTTTTTCGATCATGACATAACGTTGACCTGAGGTCGTTTTAACGTTAATTCTGAATGGTCAAATTTTAACTCATGTGACGCGTCTCAAAGAAATAAACACGGTGGTGACAAGACAACATATGTAAATACCAAACAAATTCACGGAATCTAAAGTTATTGCAAAGCAAATGTTTCGGCAGAATCTGTCCAGCTAGCTATTTGCCTTCTATGGGCAAAACATAGACCTGAGATGAAATCTGACGCGAAGCTAGCGAAAGAGCGTTGAAAGAGCTATCGAATATGTTTTCTGCTTCACTGTAGCCCTTCTATTGGTGGGTTCCCAGTCGCTAACGTATAACGTATACTAAAGTACCGCTGAGGTATGCTTTCGACCCCTGATCAATCTAGAGGTTTGCGGAAAAAAGAGCATGCTGCCCGTGACGAGAGAAAGCCGATGATACCCATTTACAAGGTTTCGGGTAATCTCAGGACTCAGGTCATCGCCAATAAGTAGGGAAACTCGGGACCTGCTAGAACTTTGCGAATGTCAGTTGTGATGGTTTTTCGAGGTTCTGATTACGAATGTTACCTATCTTAGTTTTGAACGAAGACGATGACTCCATGCATTTGGGGTAGATCAGGTCAGGTCAGATCGACCAGTACCTAATAGTGGATGACCACCACCGATTGCTTCCTAACGTGTTATACCTACATATGTATAAGCAGCACAACTACTTCTTAAATGTTCAGATGGGCGCTAAGTTCAAAATCAGCTCCAAAATTTTTCCTATACCTAAATTAAAAGCATGTTATGAAAAAGTGAACCAAGGTCATCTTTATTTGAATCAGGGATATCGATTTATTTTTTAGTAGGTGATTAACTCGAGCGCACCGGAAGTTTCGTTGCAATCGGCTCCTTTTTGCGCGACTTCTTTGCGAAAGCCCGAGACGGTTTCATCTGACTCCCTTTCCCCTACATGTGCACTGTACAGCTAATTGTGACGGTAGCCATGGGGCTGAGGCTAGTTTGTAGTTTTGTAGTTAGGTACTGATCCGACGAATCGACTGCGACCATTTTTTTTTTTAACGATCAGACGAACGCTCGGGGCAGTTTTGGCGCGTCCAATCTTTTGAGGGATAAAAAGGTACAAGAATGGTGGCTACTTAAAAATATTGTTGTGCTGGTGTTCCCCGCCCATAGCTAAATGAACTTTAGGTAATTGGCTAATTGGCTTTAGGGAGCTCTTGAAGCGATTCTGAATCTGATGTATTTGTTGGTGTTGCTGACGCCTGCTTCACTGACATAAAAGCTAAAAAAGCATACTCAGCATCGCAAAAAGTGGGGGGTCGACACCCCCAGTTTTCAAGAGTGGGGGGGGTCACGACCCCCCCGACCCCCCCGTCGGCGACGCCCCTGTACCCTCACCACCGCTACGGAGATCTTTCAAATTCGTGCACATCTAAATGCCCAGAACACACATTTTCTTGCAACTTATTTTTTTAGAATGACATTAAAAAAACATAAAATCGGCTCTCACCTCGAGACGCGTCCACTCAGCCACAAGACAGAACAAGGAAAGATGGCGCCCGGAAAACCTCGTCGGCTGGTCGTGTCGCGAGCGCCATCCATTGGATAAGTTTGGCACAATTCGCCCTGATACAACTTGGACATGATACAACTCTCCCCGCTCTCCCCTACATACAATTTTCGTGACCTAGGATGACCTGGCCTTGACCTTAAAAATTCGAAGTAAAAGTTCGGTACCCTCAGGGTATCTAAGGCATCCGTCAAGGAGTGCGTAAACCAAAAATGAGCATGATCGGACCGGCCGTCCGGTGGTCAGAGCCTAAATTGTAAACTAGCAAAAATGTCGATAACTTTTACTGTGACCTGACCTGTGACGTCATCAGTGACCTCGAGGTCAATGAAAATAGGTTTCGCTCGACAGTTTTTCCAGGGCTATCAGACGCCGTTTGAATTTTGACGATCGGCCCAGTAGTTTCGGAGATAGGAGGGGGGCTCTGGAGAGCCCCCTCCCCAGTCACTCGCGTTATGGAAAATACCTACCCCAGTCATGCGTGGGTTAACAAAAATATGAAATCCGGGAGGATAAATTAAATATAGAAATTGTGGCCAACAGAACATTATCAGTTGCGTTCAACATACTCGTAAGCATATTCACACACCCAGCTTACATATGAGCCATGTAATGATTATTTTTGATAAACATGCTTAAGTTATGAAATCATCTGAAGTGTTTGTAAAGTTCCACGATACGGATCTAATGTCCTGCTATGCATTATGACCATTTCTGGTCAGGTCATGTCTTCGAACATAGGCCAAATTTTTCAAATGACCTTTAAAGATCAACTTTTGACTCATTCGAAGCGTTTTGATAAGAGGAACACGAGGCTGGTAAAATTAATTTCATGCAAGTTTCAAGCTAACAACTCTTTTAAGTGTTAGTGGAAAAGCAATTGGTTTTCTCATAATACCGATGGTGGCAGCTGTTGTTATTTACATGCTAAGCCGTTGACCTTAATTGAATCTGACAATATTGTTCAGAAATAGCGGTAAACGAGCTGATTGTTGTGTTAGGTTAGGCTCTTTCGGTCGATATCAGAGTGGGAAGGATGATGGGAATTAGGGGGAGACCTGGGCGGTAGTCCTGGACCTCATGCTCCGCTGGGGCCGAGCCCAACACGTGGGTTGGATTGCCCTGACACATGGATAGCCCTAGGCGGTGTTTCATGGCTCCGCGCTGCAGCACGCTGCGCTGCGCTGCTGCATTGTTGCGGCGGTTGATATGAATTCGGCTCCACGCTAGCGTTGCGAGCTTCCGAGTCTGTTGATGTTTCCATTGAAATTGGAAACCCAATGCACCGCGCGGTGCGCGCAACGCACCCTGTCTAGGCAAAATTTTACCTTCGATGACCTCTAAAGACATACCTCTGGCTATGACCCGATCCAAAGTTGGCTGAAGTATTGTTTTCTTCTTTTTGCTACTTTTGACGCTACTTCGAATACCACTTAAATGCCCAAAGCCGAGTTAGGTATAAGAATGATGCTCAATCCCCATTTCCCTCCAACAGAGCGTGAGAGTCTAGGTATTCCTGTGGGGCACGGGCTAACAATGACTATCTCATAATCATTGTGGCCATGAACATCTACTGCCATTCTTTAACACCGGTTTCGCTGCGCTAAGCGGTGGCCGTCCCGTTTGTTGGATTCTACAGCTGGCTGGCGGAAAGCGTTACCGGCCGGCCGTCCACCGCCCGCGGGCCGGACCGAGCGGTCCCGCTGACCCTACCTGACCTGAGCCTGGCGCGATATGGGACAGGCAGACGGGGGTTCGGCTCAGCGAAGGCAGCGCCCACTGGTGCTGGGGACTTTTTTAATAGACCTACTGTACGCGGCATTGTTATGACAGGTGTGTTCTGCCCTTTGTCTCCATTGTATATACTACTTATGTGTAAGGATAGATGCGATCTGCCTTTTGTCACCAGTGTATGCAATGCACTGCTGTTTTTGTAATGACGTTTGTGTATATGTTAGATAGCATCTATGTTATCTCATCATTGTATAGACAAAGGGATCACGAGGCCAACAACGTGACCCGCGCGTATAAAAGCCGACTGACGCTAGGTCGGTTAGGTTAGATCAGCCAGAGGCACTGTACCGCAAAGACCTCTGCTACGAGACGGGCGGCGCAAGATCCACCGGGTCGTAAAGCTAGGGTGTCCCCTGCTCGGCTATGGCTAAATAGAAGAAACATCCAACACCTGAGTTTTCTTCGGAGCCGAGTCTGCTTCGACAACACCAAGAAGCACGAGGGGCGCCACGCCACAGGCGTGACTAAGGCGAAAAGCATCAGCTAGCACTGTGAGTGGTCGCGGACCGTCTGGAGGCCACAGCCAGCCCTAGTACCCGGATCTTCTGACCTGACGTCGTGCGCGGACAGGTGCCCGGTTTAACTGACCTAGAGGTCACAGCCCCGCCCCGGTGCCCGTTCCTACTGACCTGACGTCGTGCGCGGACAGGTCGGAGTCGTCTGAGAAGGCCTCGTCGTCGCTGAGCAGCAGCTCGCTGTGCTGGGAGGCCGCCGGCGCCTGGCGCGCCGCGTACGTGTGCTCCTCCTCGGGACTGCGACGGATCACCACCAGTTGACGCTGCACACGCGGGGAAGGGGACGTCAGAGGGACCACCAGGCACCAGCTGACGCTGCACGAGTGCGAGCAGGGGTGTCGAGCGAATGGCGCACGCGACACAGCAACAGGGAAAATAATTCATCCTCCAGAGATTTTGGCGAGAATTGCACTATTTAAAACTAATCAAAAACAAAGATTTTATCTGCTTGAATGAAAATCCGAGCGCGATTTATTGATTGATTCAAGCTATAGGTAGCATTTGCCAAAACGTGTGCACCTGTTAAAACTAGCCAAAGACGTTTTAAGGTCTGGTCAGTCTCTCACTTCATTGAGTATAAAATCGTCTCGTGGGGAGATATCTATGAGAAACTCAAAATTAGAAGCTCTGCAACTTGGTCGATGCAGCAATTTGAAACGCACCTTTAGTACAACTCTTGCTAATCAGTTCATAATCTAGCATCACCTGCTTCCCCTGGAACTTGCGCCGTCGGGGCCATATATGATAAGAGCAAAGCATAAACGAAGCTGGGCCTCTAATAAATTAGGCCTATGGTTCCTGTAATGTGTGTCTCGTTCATTGCTTCTCGTTAATTGCTTATTGTTGTTTGTCTCCGCTAACCGTCGCTTCTATTTTCGTGGGTTTAGGATTAATTAGTTTGTAGTTCGATTTTACCTGCGCGGTGGCCCTATTTCAATTAGGCAGTTTCAACGTTCATTACTTCACTGTATCTCTGCCGTGCGGGGCCGACTTTGCCGACTTCGCCGAGCTCCGGCCGAGACCCCACGCGCCGCTGCGCTGCCGTGCCGCCGCGCCGCCGCCCAGCCGTGGCGCCGCGCCGCCGCCCAAAGCCGGTTCGTCACGGTGCCACGCATGTCCATCTTCGGAGGATTTAGCGGCGCGCGCTATTCAACTATCTCGACTCTGCCCTGTACTTAATAAAGCTTTAGATCTGCCGTTTACATACCTGTCCATCATAGTTTAGTCACACTTAGTCAGAGCCGGGTGAGCCTCGGGCAGTGCATCTCCCTCCTCCTTCCCCATTCACAGTTTACCGTGACGCTGTTGATCTCGCCCCGGGTGCCGGATGAGCCGACAATCTCGACCTCCATTTCAAACTGAATGGAATAGCCCTGCACATATACATACATATTGCATACATACTGATAAAAAACTTGATAGCCGGGAAAACGCCATGATTCTGCTCACTATACCTATCATCTTTTGTTGCTTGTTGGCACATTTTCTTCTGTTGTCTTTTATTTATTTTCGTTATTTCTCCTTCCACGGTCAACAGTAGGCAACAGTCATCAAGAGCACAAGTCCACATTCCGATAATTGTTATCGTTTTAGCCAGCATTCGGTTACAGATCATTTCTGCGTATTCTTTATAAGCACATTCAAGTCACACAACACAACCCTTATCTAAATTAGGCTACAACACAGATATATTCCACTGACGTAGATTGTATCACGTACGCTCGACCAGCGATCACTGGACACACACTGAGTGGACACGCACACTCGACCTTCACCAGGGTTCTTCTTTGGGCTGTACTGCGAACTCCTGAAGATCAGGGATGATCGGAGACGATTCGCGCTTCACATCCCGCCGCATGTTCTCCAGCCGACCCTCCAGCGCCAGGATGCGGCTGTCTCGGCAGTCCACCGCCGCGTGCAGCTCCTGGATAGTCTCTCCCTGCTCGTTTACAAGCTGTTCCATATCACCTAACCTTCGCTGCATGGCCAACAGCTTCTCCTTAAGCCAGTCCGTGGTCCTTTTCGATTTCTCTGTCAATAACGTTGTTTGCTTTTTCACTTCTTGCTGAAGTATAAGCTGAAACGCCATCAGCTGCGCATCACCGTCCGTATACTCATCTTCCGATGTAGCCGGGTCGTCACTCTCGCTCGGCACTCGTCGTCGCTTTGTCGAGCTGCCGTCACGATTCAGACTGCCCATCGTTCGGCCAACGTCGCCCGGCTCCAGCTCTGAGTGCCCAGCTGCATATCTGTCTCCCTCGGCGCTTCCCAAACTGGGAGCAGCACGCGCACTGCCTGACCCGGCCGCAGGAGTCTGAGTGGCTCCGGACGACTGCACTGGCTCTGTCACCACCCTCGCGCCATCCCTGGTGAGGATGATTTGGGGTTTTCGGCCGCCCGGCCTGCAGAGCTCATCTCCCTGTCCACGACCACGGGCCTGGTTCTGCGGAGCGCCCACACAGCCAGCGGCGGGCTGCAAAGAAGGACAACGCCGCTTTACTTGCGTTCGTTGAAAGAAGTCCAGACGGCAAACCGGGGACTGCCGGGAGTTTTCCTCACGCTTTATCGCTACGCCATGGAGCTCGGGCCGGTTGGAGAAAGAGAACTGCTGCGTTGCTGGTGCGCTGGTCGTTAGCTCGGCTCCGAACATTGCCGAAAATAGCCGACAAAACAACATCCAAAATACGCAGCAACTGCTCTTTTACCTCAGCCAGGAGCGGAGTACGCCGGGCAGTATTAATTGTTTTATCACTAGATGTTTTTTTCACACCTGTGAAGTGTGACCAATTTAACTTCCACTGATTTTCTCAGTCGCTGTGGCTATAAGCTCCGGGACATACCGCAGTAAATCGAGGGGCAGATTCAGCGGAGCGCGCGACACCGACCCGCCACTTACCTTGGCCCCGTCACCAATCAAATACATCGCATCGACTCTGCCCCAGCGAAAGTGCCAAGTGTGATCCCGAATTGACTTGTACGGATAACCCCACTAGCCGGCCCCTAACGCTGTACTGAATTTGAGCGCAATTGGCCCAGCCGTTCCCCACATGAAGCGACCCCTGCACCTGCGCACGGGAGCAGTAACCGAACCATGATGCATGAAAATGCATCGCCCTGCGTTTGTCTACCGAAATATTAAGTTTGAGTGCAATCGGCCCAGTGATTGCTGAGTTATAATAGGAACAAACTTCCCAACTCTTCATTCTGCACATGGCACATGCGGTGGAATTCACCCACAATCCACCTTCAGCGAGAGCAGTCTTAAAGTTGGTAGAATGGATTACACCCCACAAAAACCTACAACAATCCTACAAAAAGCGCAAGTCAAGCGACCCATCAGTCGCTGAGATATAAGCCTCTCAGAAGCGTAGCCGACAGGTCGGGTTGCTGAAGGTCACGTGACCGAAAATAAGCTACACAATGCTGAACTTTCAGCTGACGCGTGCCAGGCTTTGTGAAAGCATGATCCGCTGTCCCAGCCAGGCAAGAGGTGGTAAGCAAACCAAATCACAGATACACTGCCGGGCCTGGCGCGCGTATACGTCATTTTTCGATCTTTTCGAAGCTGACGTATGTGCCAATTGTGTTCTAACGTGCAATCATGAACTCCGTTACTTAGGAATCAGACTTTTCTTCGCGCTTGCTCGCAATGACAAGTAACGGTTGTAAAAAAAATATGCTACATACGAGTACGTTAGTTTCAGAAAACGAAACATACTTTTTACCGCTCGGTTGCTCGTCACCCGCTGCGCCCCCTGCGTACCTTGGCGATGGCAACGGCGGCCGGCTCGCCGGACGCCAGGCGGTGGGCCGGCGACACGAGCACAGGTCCGTAGTCGTGGCCGGCAGAGTCGCGCGGCCGCTTCACCACCTTCACTGTGGACGCACCGGGCGGAGAGGGGGTCATAAGGGAGCCGAGGGCGAGAAGGGAGTAAAGCGACGGGTGGGAGATAGGAGTGGGCGCCCTAGACTACAACTCAGAAGGGTGACTAAATGCGCCATCGGAGGGTAAACAATGATCAAATAGAAATAAGATGGTCGCTTGGAAGAAATAAGAAACGGGTTAAAAAGAGCAGCATAATGGCGCACCACACAACGAAACTCGAGCTACAAGCACAACAATGACGAGCCTGGGTGCGCACAAGAACGTCGGGGACTGCTTGGCTTGGGGAGCCATAACAGTCAGGGAGTAACTACGAGTTAGTTGTGAATGACAGCCCGATCAATGGCACACTATATGATCTATTCTGGACGGTATCCATAGAGCCCGTGCTTAAGCGTCACCGGCGGATGAGTCTGGTCAGGAAATAAACGGTCGTCAATAAACGATCAAAGTCACTCCGAATTCGGCTATGATATAACCACTAACAAATAAAGAACGTATGCAGCTGCTGGTCTATTATACGCGTATACGCCAATGACTAATACCAAAAGCGAACACTTGAAGTTCGATGCGTCGACACTCGACAGCCAATGGATTGGATATCATTTTCCTCTGCAATGTGACCTCTACCTTCCTCAGCACTGCCCCATCCGTCCACTCACCTCGACAGCGGGCCGGGGTGGTCTCCGGTGCCGGCGGCTCCTGCACTATCATCAGCGGAGGCTCGCCGTCGGCCGGCTCATCCTCCCCCTCGGCAGCGGCGGCGGCGGCGGCGGCGGGGGCGGCAGCGGGGGCAGCCTGGGAGCCAGCCGGCGCGGCGCCGTCGCCGTCCCCTCCACTCGACAGGAGTCGCCGCGAGAGCAGCGGGAACAGGTCCGGGTTGGGTCCGCCATCGTCCGACTTGGGCCGGTTCTTGCTGCCCGGCGGACGGCCGACACCTGTACGGAAGGGCGAGGGGTTACAAAGCGGCGATACGGGGGTGAGGGATGCCGATTTGAACAGTAGGGGTAGCCGTACAATTGCGTGCGTGTTGGTAGACACAGGTGACCTGACACACAGACCCTTATGATCAAAGCTCATCGCCGGGGTCAAGTCATACTGACCAGTGACCAGGCAGACGGCTGCAGAAATACACAAAGCAGACCCGCCGACAGCCCCGGTGGGGACCACTGACCTCTGCCTCGGCGGCGTGGCGTGCCGCGCTGGGCGGGTGTCGCGGGCGGCGGGGGGTGCTGCACAGGTACCGCCGCCACGGCCGCCGCCTCCAGGCTCTCCGTGGAGCGCGGGTCTCCGCCGGGCCCCGGCGTCTCTACCGGCGCCGGGGACGGGGGCGGGGGCGGCCGGCGGGCCGGGCCGCGGCGCGGCGACTCCAGCAGCGGCTGCGGCGGGCCGCTGAGCGCCGTGGCCGCCGCCGTCCATGGCCGGTAGACCGAGGCCCGGGAGCCGAACGCCGAGGGCGCCTCCTGGACGCACGGCGAGCGCTTCAGCGCCTGGATCAGGTGCGGCCGGTACAGCGGGTCCACCGTCCACAGCGAGCCCTTGCCCGGACCCTGGCGGGGCAGCGGGCAGGGTCAGATGGTCGGTCGGTACGGCGGTCGGTGAGAGGGGAGGGCGACACGAATCATCAGGCAAACGGACAATAACAATAACGGAAGAGACCATGTGGATCAAGTAATCGGGAGATATCAAGTAAAAATTCTTGCGAGATTTTTCAAGGGCAACTTAAGTCCAAGGACGAAAGATACTAAAAAAAAAAAACACACACAAAACAGGAGCACAAAAAACTTCTTCGATCATCCCAGTGCTGTCCTAAGCTGCTACCATATATACTCCTCAGGAACCTTCAACGTCACTCACCGGCGACTTTTCTATCTTCCTGAAGCACTTGTTGAGCGACAGGTTGTGTCGCACAGAGTTCTTCCACCCGATTGGTGCCGTCTGGTAGAACGGAAAGTACTCCTGGATCCAGTTGTAGATCTCCTTCACGGGCATCGCCTTCTGTGGCGAGTCCTCGATCGACATGAAGATCAGACACGAGAACGAGAACGGCGGCTTGAAGTGGACGTGAACCTGCCGGGAGATGGACAGCTCTGGTCAGCTGATGGCGCGCTTCGAGAACACGGATCGATCTTGTAAGTCATGAATCATGTAGTGTGTGCCGTACATAACTTCTGATGCTGTGCTGCCACGCTGTGTAACATTAAAAAATCACAGGCAATTACTGGCAATTAAAACCTTGCTGGCAATGGGAGTTCAGTGCACCTGGATCAGCTCTGCAGGGATGATTTCGGCTTACATTATAAAAACGAACTGCGTACCACCCCGCATACTCCCGTCCCCTCTCACTAGCCCCCTTCCAGTGCCCCATTTTCCCCCATTCCTCCGCCTACCTTCGGGTCGTAGGGCAGGTGGGGCGGGTGCCGTTTGGTCTTCCCGAAGTTGAACGTGCCCAGGATCTGCGGCGGTCGGGGCAGGTCTCCGTTCCTGCCGACGGTGGCCACGGCTGCGGTGCGGGCCGCGCGGCCGCGGCCAGCCGGCGTGTCGGGCACATCCTCTAGGTAGTCGGAGGTGGGGGACTCCTCGCTGTGCTCAGCGACTCCCTCCTCGACCAGCAGCGGGGCGGCAGACATGGGCCCGAGCCGCCCCTCGGCCGCCGCCGACTCTGAGCTGACCGACGAGCGCTGCCGGAACTTGACGTCCGACGCTGCGCGGGCACAGGGTATGTCAAACAGCGGGACACGCGCACAGAGGTTCCTGTTACACGATACGTCAATGAAGCTGCTCGGAAAACAATAACTACTGGGCAGGACTTGTTGAACAATACGATAGCGATAAGACAAGGTTAGAATGAAGAAATATAGGCTAAGCAATATATTTTAAGAGACACTCAAACAAATATGCAAAACTGCAATGCTTAACATCTTTTTTTTTCACGCAAGACTCAAAGCAACAAGCAGTGTACTACGGATATACTACATCCCATCGCCTCCCCATCTGTCTCTGCCTCGACCATCATCCAGTTACCTTTGAGGAGGTTTTTACTGTGCAGCCAGGAGAGGGAGGTGAGGTCCTCATCGACCACGGCCTCGGCCTTTCCAGAGGCCAGCTCCACCTCCAGAAACTGGTCCGGGTCGATCATCTGCAACCAGCCACACGGGCTCCGTTAGATGGGTGCAGGACAGCGCGGCGCGGACAGCTACACCAGTACAGCGCGCGGTAATCAACGTGGATTGTTGCAGCGCCCCTCTACTCGTCACCAGCTTCCCTGATCAGTCCTTCCTCACTCTCCCCGGTCCCTCTCACCACGTCGAGACAGTCCTTCAACCCGTTCTACTAACCTTTTTCCATTCCTCCCTTCCTCTCCCCTCTCCCTCTTACCCCGTCATCATCCTCTGTCTCCGGCCCTTTCTCACCCCGTCGTCATCCTCTGTCTCCGGCCCTTTCTCACCCCGTCATCATCCTCTGTTTCCATCACGCTGACACTGACGTCCCCGGACTCCTCCTCGATCTTGATGGCGGCGGCGGCCTCCTTGTCACTGCCGTCGCCGCCAGAGCCGGTCCCGGCGCCGGAGACCAGTCCCAGGCTGCGGGCCACCTCCGGCGTCACCATCACCACCCGCTGGCCGTTCATGTTACCTGGCGGACAGTGACGAGTCAGTGACCATTGTCACCCGCTGGCCGTTCATGTTACCTGGCGGACGGCTGCGCGTCAGTGGGGTGTGGGTATGCACGGGCGGTTTAACGCGTCATGGGAAGAAAAAGTATGATGGAAATGCAATGTGGTTGGGTCAAAGCAAGCAGCGAGGTTCTGTATAGAGCGACACAAAAACTTGAGACGGTTCGGTTGGTTGGTTTCGTCAGGGTCATTGATTAGAATACAATCGTATATTCAAACATCACAAATTATAGATGGTGTATCCTGGCTACTGGAAATCCTACTTGAAATTAAATAGGATTCTCTATCATAACAGAGATTATTCAACATAACAAAACGGCTCATCCCTTAGATCCAAGCAAACAGCGTAACAAGTCCACTGTAGCGATCAAACGTCCGTTAAGCCCGTCACTTCAGCCCCAACCACCGATCATTCTTCACTCCCACTCTGACTCCCATCCGCCACTCACTGCTCTGGAACATCATCTGCTGGGCGGGCGTGAAGCCGAACGTGGCGCCGGCCTTGGTCGGCGGCGGGCTATCCCGCTCGGCGTCCGGCGCGCCGGCCATCTGTAGGTCGCCGGCCGCCATCAGCGGCTCAACGCGGGCGGCTCACCGGCTCACTGCGGGCGGCTCAGCGGCTCAGCAGGGGAGAGAACAGTCTGTGGGGAATACAGAGAGATACCAGTCAGCGAAACGGGTCAGCGACGTGATGGAACATAGCTCAGGGAAACAGGAGAGGAGCGACAATAGCCCTCTATAGGTCGGCACTTGGTGATAAGCCGAGGTATCCTTACACACAATTAACACTTGAAAAAAACTTTCGAGGTACGCGGGTAAGCCAGGCTTCAGTGTAGGCGCCACCCTTCTGATTTGTACCAGTTCAGATCGGAGACGCAGACCACAGTTACAGCAGCAGCCAGGGCTGCGGAGTCGGAGTCGGAGTCGACAGTTGTGACCGGAGTCGGAGTCGGAGTCGGAGTCGATTTTAGAAACTCGAGCCGGAGTCGGAGTCGGAGTCACCGAAAATCTGTCGACCCCACAGCCCTGCTAGGTCTGCGGAGTCGGAGTCGGAAGTTGGAGTCGGTCGGAGTCGACAATTCTGCCCGGAGTCGGAGTCGGAGCTGGTTTTTGAAAGCCGGAGTCGGAGTCGGAGTCACCGAAAAGCCATCGACTCCGCAGCCCTGGCAGCAGCCACACCAAGCTATTACCCATGCACAGCGTCTGCTGTCGGCGCGGGGGTGAGGCTACGCGGACAGACCTGCCGTTACAGCCGCCCACGGCGGACTCAATTGACTCCGGCCACAGTAACGGTAACAACATTACGGCGCGTCGCTATCTGCCGCTGCCAGGTGTTGGCGCTTCGGTTCCCATGGAAACGTAATCAGAATAGCCTAGTTTGTTTACGTTGCCGTGGAAACCAAAGCGCCAATGCCTGGCAGCGAAGGTAGTGGCATGATGTGAAACAGGGCCGAAAAGGACCGTTCTGATAGATACAGCGTCAAATCAGGAATAAGAAAAGTCATTCCATCATCAAAACACACAAGCTGATGACATACCACGGGCGAGCCATAGCATAGGGATTGACCAACACAGGGTTCAAAAGCTGAGCAGATTGATGAAATGACTCCACGCAGACACGAAGGACTTATGACAGGCTAAAACACGCACTAATGTACTGCATGGGAGATTAAATAGGGCGATACATATCATTGTTACTAGGCAATGCACGTTAAAAATTGCTGCATTAAAACGCTGAATGTGGTTTTCATTTGGGTCATAGCTCGCGGCTCTTACAGCCAGCTCCAATGGCAGGTGATGGGTTCAGTTTGCCGGTCGGGCAGCCGTCGCCCCTATCGGACGGGCCGACCACGCGCGGCCGGTTACCATGGGAACGGCGTCGGTGCGGCAGTCACGCCAGGGCGCTGATACAGACCGGACCAGCTGGGGGAGGGCTCAGCGGGCGAGGGCAGCGTGAAACACCCACTGGACACAGGCCTGGATGAGAGCGTGCGGAGTGACCACTAACAGGGCAGTCAGCGGCGAAACATGGCCGTGGTCGATCGGCGCCAATTCATCTATTGATGGCGGGTGGATCCTGGTTCACAGCACCCTGTCAACCGTTACTAGAGCTTTCTGTTTCAATGGAAACATCAGCAAAGTAGGACATTGCAAGCTGCAATGTGAGCGTCCCAGTACGTTGGTTTCCATAGCAAATGCGAATCTGCACTAGTAGCCGCTAGAGTCGTGCCACGAAACAGGACCCTGATCCCTCAACCTGCACATTGATCGAAAGAATACTCTTTGGTGTCAATCGATAAATCACACTATCAATTCAGACCAGATTCAACGTCATGTTCAAGGTAAAAAAACATGTCCCTTTTTTCCTCGAGGGTCTTTTCAGTTCTAAAGCAATGCTTGATGAATAGGAAAACCCATTTCATCAGCAAATTATTCATCCTCAAGTGAAAAACACTCCCCTCCCATAACCCCAGTGCTTCAAAGCCATTCCCATCAGGACAAATCCATAGCCCATTTCAACGCCCGTACCTCACAACCATCAACACCACACTACAGCCTGAACACCGTGACGCTACACAAATGGATGTGACGCAATCAGCGCAACTCCAATAGTGAGCTGCCCACACACGGGTTCAGTGCCGCGCGCCCGTCGCTAGGCCGCGTCAGACCGTACAGTCCAGAAGGCATGCCGCACAGTGCCGCGTCCTTACGGCTGTATTGTACCAGCATTCGAGACGGGCGAGCCGATGCGGCGGACCTGACCGACTCAAAGCCGGCGTCCAATCGACACGGCGGTGAACTCCATTACCAGCTTCAATGGGAGTGATACACCCGGGCCGGGGCAATAGGGGATGGTGCATGACCGGTGCAATCGTGTCGCGCCGTGACGCGACAAACCGCGCTGGAGGAGCAGGTACATAATGAGTGTCCTCGAGCCGACCACTTGCAGTTCCGGGGTGACCGCAATCAGGGCAGGCACGGCAGTCCGATCTTCCGGGTACACAGTAAACAGACAGCTCAGTGGCCTCAGAAGCCAGTAGACAGGAGGTCTGCTCAGCGGCTGAATACACAGAAGGCGAAGCAGAGTTCAGGCAGTGTTAGCAGCACTGCCGCTCTCCTCGCGCACGATGCGGCGCGCGGTCGTGTCCACCGTGCTGACGCTGCTGCTGGCCGCACCCTCAGTCGCCATCACCGTCCGCAGCTCGCTGCGGCTGACCTCGCGCTGGGAGCGGCGCACCGCCGGCTGCCAGCCCGTGTCGGCGCACCGGAGCGGTCTCAGTCGGCTCGGCTGCAGCCTGCTGGCGCTCGGAGTGGAGGCCTGGGGCTGGCGGTACGACCCTGCCGGCGCGCCCGCCGACCGCTGCCAGCTCTGCTGGAACAAACCCAAACCCTCCGACAACCCTCCGACCGACACCTTCCTGCGGGGCGAGCCGCACTACACGGGCGTCAGTGGCTTCTGCCACAGCCCCGACCAGTGCACGCTGGAGAACGGCGAGTGCGGCGAGGACGACCGCTGCCACTGCCTGCCCGGCTTCGACCACAGCTACCAGTGCCTCCACACCTGCTTCCTCAAGTACGACGGGTTCCGCGCCGAGACTGCCCCGCTCAACGCCACAAACGCCACGGTAACGCTCGACTGCGCCGCGGACGGCTCCAACGACCTGCTGACGGGGCTCAGCGTCAGCGCCGACGGTCGGCTGGAGGCCGTCAAGTGTCCGCAGTTCGCCAACGGCCTGCAGCTGGGCGCCCGGGTGGTGGAGCGGCCGCTGGGCGGCGACAACATCACCAACCCGGTGACCACGCGCTGCCCCAAGACGCACGTGGTGACCGGACTGACGGCGGCCGAGGACGGCAGCCCGCAGACGGTGCTCTGCCGGCCGCTGCAGCACCTCTGGGTCATCCACTCCAAGACGTGCGTCCTGCAGCCAGTGAGCGCCGCGCCCCTCTCCGAGCAGCAGCTGGCCAACGCCAGCATCCCCTGGCCGACTCAGTGTGATGAGGAGCACCAGCGGGCCGTCAAGGCCGTAATAACCTGGGATGGCGTCCTGGGGAAGATCCTCTGCTGCCGAATCATGGAGGACTGCTCTCCGCTGAAATAGGACCGGCCAGACCGGCCACTTCCCGCAAGATCTGATGTCTGTGACCAATAGCATGTTCATGCCACACATTTTGAAATAGTCTTATTAGCAAGCTTCCAGCGGGAGCTCTCCAAGCGTGTACACTCTGATTTGTCAATGCACGCCAGAATAAGGCTATCAAAGGATTCATGCACAGTGCACCCAACATCATGTCAAAATTCAGGGCTGTCTCATCCCAATCTTATTCATTTGTCGGGGTACACCAAGGTGATGTCACCGAATTAACCCGCGCCCGGGTGGGCCTCTCAGCCAAGTGAGCCAGCTTCGCCAAGGTGCGGGGCCTTTTTGGCCACACCAGATTATCTCAGAAAGTAAGGAAGCTAGATAGACACGGTAAAAAGCAATAGATAGCTTGCTTCGAGATCTTTCAGAAATACTTATTCATTTTTTATCAGGTCATCACTAAGGTCACTGGAGGTCACCAAAGGTAAAATTTTCATGAATATTTGTTTCCGATTTTGACAGCTTTTCACAAATCATCTAAAGTCAGGAACCAATAGAGCTACAGTGCTGCGGAAAAGAGCATTTCATAGCTCTTTCAAAGGGCTTTCTGAGTATTGTTCTCACATCTGACCTAAGATCAATGGTCTAGCCTCCAGAGGGCAAAAACTATCAAAATTTGACATTTTTTTCAGAAAAGGGTTTGTATAACTTCTGATTCAAAGCTTGTATGACACTGACTTTATCAGTATCGCATTTGTCTCGTTGAGATGCTCAAATTAACTATAAGTTGATGACCAACAACAGTCAACTTAAACATTTGAACTAAGGATCTGTAGACCTTTGCTGACCCAGGACCTTTGATCTCAGGTTGCAAGTCATTTGATTTGTATTGTTGAGCTGAACACATTCATGGTCAGTCGGGCGCACTGTGGTATCTCCGATTCATTTATGGAGACGTTTCTATTATTGGAAACGTTTCCAATTTTGACTACTCTTCTGTTCCAAAAATGGAAACGCTCGTTCCATAAATAGAAACGCTAACATCTCCGCACATATTTTCTTGCCAAGGGTGGCTGGATTCGATGTATAACAACTGTTTCGCGTAAAACAAGCTCAGATACACCAAAAGCACTTGTCTTCTTGCATGGAAAGCTGTCGTATGCATTAAAATTCACGTCTTTAAAATGCTCCTGAATCGTATCCATTTATGGAGACTTAGTTTCCAAAATGGAAACGCCGATGTTCCAAAAATAGAAACGCTGAAGTTCAAATGTGTGCAAACTTAGCTTAAATGTGTTTTTAAAATTCACATGCAACTAAAAATTTGATGTTTTGGGACTGGTTTAGCATCTCGGCTCTCGGCAGTTACCTTGGACGTCGGGTTCGATAATAATACCTTACGAGCCGCAACTTGAGCACATTCAAAAGTCAACTAAAACTAAGATTTCCCAGAAACTACTGGACAGATATGGTCCGAAGTGGGCAATACATAAAGCGTAGATATCATTTCAATATATAAAATTAATATCCATGTTACACATGAGCTAGAATGAATAAATTCATCATCAGAATGCAATGGTATTTGGTGTGACGACGGTGCAGACCTTATTTCCATCCTGCTTTTTACGTATTTGCACGGAGATTTACGTTGATCCGAGCCTACGATCATATCCAGCACATTTGAAATATCATAAAATGCCCACTTAAGTCTCCAAATAGGGCTTTGCAACAACTTTCATGCGATTTAATCAAAGATTGACGACCACCAGGCCGCTGGTACACCGGAAAACGCAGCGTGATAATGAATGAAAAACTGAAGTTCCCGGTGATGTGGTTGTTCCAATCAATGGGTCAGTCTTTCAGTAGTCTGTTAAAAACGTTATTTTTTTGTTCAAAACATTCATAAATGTTATTATTTTCGATTAGAAAAACGTGTGATTTTTTATCACGTGAACATGTTATAAGCATCGCCTCGTTCGTCGACTTTCGGTTTTCTGATCGGAAAGTCGGAGAACAGGAACATAAACTAGAATGCTGGCTGTCGATTGGTGGCATCCTGCACATGCCAAATTGCACCAATCAATGCCCAGTTTGCTTTAAAGGTAGCGATGCACACAGCGTCTCCATTTATGGAACAGATCGTTTCTATTTTTGGAAACGGCGTATCCATTTTGGAACATTGTTCCAAAAATGGAAACGTTTCCATAAATGGATCGGAAATACCACAGTGTGCCCGACTGTGGTGTTTTCAGCACTCTGCCCTGCTTCTATCTAAAGTTATTGTCAAAAACTGTTTGAGATGTTTCGTGGCCAAGTGACCATCCCACAGATTCTAAGGGGCTAATGCATTGGAATGCCCCCTTATAATTTGTGGTAGACGTCGGCGGAAATCTAACGATTTTTAAATCTTAGACTAAAACCATCGTTAACATGTGGTGGTATTCACCAGGGTATTCACTGCTTTCAGCGCAAGGTCTACCGCACTTTGAGGCTACCAAATTATTGCTTCCAAATAAGTTGCTAGGAGCAGCGGATATCCCAAAAAGTAAACAAAAGTAAAAGCCTAGTATCTTGAACACCAGTGGATATTTTTCGGTGAACTTTTGTAGGTATTCATTTTTTATCTTTCAGAACCAAGGGACATCACTTTTATGCCGATTGATTAGCTTTTTGAGGGTGGGAGGGTCCATTTAACGTTTGTTTTCTATAAACACTGCATTGCAGCCGCTCGGCCATTCATACCAGCGGCATTATTCTTTGCTTGGGCCTTACAAGCACATTTACTAACTTCGACCTTCGTCGATACACGAAAACCGCCACGTTTCGCAGTCTGGCTACTAGTTTTCATTTGAAGTGGCGAAGCTGCCACACGACTTATTCATACCTAACAGTCTTGAAAAGACGGTAAGAAGATCTTCATGGTGAGAGGCAAATAGCTTGGCTACTTTTCATCGACTATTTTTAAGAGAAGCATCCAAAACCACCACTCAAACACAACCGCCGAAAACAAAACACAAACAACCCACGCCGCATCCAACGACAAACGCGGGCGGAGACGAATGAGCAAAGTAGTTTACATTTTTAGTATGAATTGAGTTCTGCTCCAAAACGCTAGTATAAGTATACTGACTTTTCAGTATGATTGCTTTTCTGTTCAGATATATCTGTGGGCAAAGCCCAACAAATTCTTAAAAACTTCAAAATTTCAATCAAAATAATATTTAAATACCTATTTGAGGTAGTTTATTAGCAATTGAGATCTAAATGGCAATAAATTCTGCTGGAAAATGTAAGTGGAATTTGTGTATAGTAGGTTTTGGAGCAAAATAAAATAAACAAAACTGCAGCTGCGCCGGGAAAGGTTTCGTCAGCTAGAAGCACGCAGCTAAATTAAAACTCTTGTAGATACGTTTATTGTGGTCGCGTTAAAGTGGTTTTGATGATTCAGGAAGCAATCGTTCAGTAAACCTTCCTGATCGCAGTCTTCTAAAAAGCATATCGCATATCAGTTGTTTCGAATATATGTTACAAAATCATCGAACACCTTGCACACAACGCACTCAAAATGCAAGATGTTTAGGCCAGTTTCTCTTGCTGTAAAAGAGGGAGGGACCAGGACAGGTTATGGTGCGGCTTCGCTGTATGGCCATTGGCCTTGCCTTTGCTCAGCAAAGCACGAGCCGGACAGCGATTTTATCTAGGGATTTTGGAATGGAGCATGAACACCGCAACGATGGTCCTCGATCAGCACTCAGCAGACGACCGATACCTACCGGTCAAGCTTATTTCAACACCACGCCGTTCCGTGCTTCTATCCTCAGGATACAGAAATCCTTCTCCACGCCGCAACCCCCTCCGGGCTGGACAGGCAACTTTATCTCATGCCGGCTGCTCCCTTGGAGCGGCACCGCTGCTCCCGAGGGAGCGCACCCCGTAGCCGGGCGCAGTGAGTGCCTTGGGGCTGGGTGGCCTGTCCTCTGGACGGGCTCAGCCCCGGCGACTCACTAAGGTGCCTGCCCAGACCAATGCCTCCCCCTATATCCTATTATCCTCCCGGCTCTGAAATGGTCTCATTGGACCGAAAGGGCCTAACCCAACAAAACAAACAAAAAATCAACACCACATAGCCTGGTGAGCAAAGGACGTCGCATAACATGCGAATGTAGATGTCCAGTGTAGGCATCAGTTCACGTAAGGTCATCGTAACTTCAGAGCTAAGTCAGGTGTGGGCGTATACTGCTAGCCGGCCACATCGTTGACAATGCGCGGTCTGTTGGTAAACTAGGCGTAGTACATTCAGTAGAATATTTATTCCAAAATCAAACAAAAAATCTAATCGGTTCACTGGCTTTGCATCAAATATCGAAAACCAGGTATGCTGTTGATTTTTATCAGCCAAACGAGCATGCTAGGTACCTATCCCTAAACTGCTTCACCATTTAATTTAGGCAATTCAATATTCAGTGAAAGATGAGTATTTATCATTGAACCGTGCCGTGATTCACTGATGTCTTCACAAATACGCAGGGAAAACAAACCAACAGAATATGCTTCAAGCCTTTGATTGACAGATCAGGAACGGTGATCTACTGCGATCGACGACAAAGACCGACCGACGAGGGTCCAGGCAGTCCGTACAACACAAATCCGTAGAACACATATTGTCAACAGCTAGGGGAGTTGAAACTTCAATTACAACACATCCGACGAACAAAAGCCTGTGAAGCAACACGGGCAGCAATGCCACGCACCTTACAGGATGGACAAGAATACCGACATTTGGACCGCTAACGCATTACGTAATACACACAGCAAGCCAGCAACCTATCACCTGAAGTAACTGAACAACCACCGGTCCGAACAAACAGAGCTATTCACAGCTCTGTGACACAGCAGGGTTCAGACCGGATCACCTGGTAATTGGTATCTATCACAACTCTGCTCCCTGATTGCGCCACACCACACCGGGGTAGGGTGGGGAGAGGCGGACGCTGGCGCCTACCAACGTTTCGGAAAAAAAGTTCCTTCATGACACAAGAGCAAGTCGCTAACATCAACTTAGTTTTCTCTCTGGGATGGGTTATAAGGAATCAGTTGTGGTCGTTGATAAAAAACAATACTGATATTGTCGGAATATGCTAATAGGATCGGAGCAATGTTCATCGGACAGGATACGTAACAACGAATACGAGCGTATCAAACTATTGATAACATAGGTACTAAGTAAAACAGACCCACGTTGGCGGTGGTAAGAAGTTATCACACCGGTCCAACCAAACGACAATATTTACCTCATAATGTCGCATAATAATGCTGCAATATTTCCTAAAACATTCACACAAGAAATTTATACCCACCTAACATCACCTTCACACACACTCAGTTGCCGAGTGAAAACCGGTCTACAGTTAATACGGTCGACATAATCTTCAATATGGATGTTGTATATATTCCTTGGGAAAAATTAAAACAATCCCTGAACTTTTTAGCGCGTTTTAGTCATATCAGCAAGCAGCATTCATCAAATGGTTCCGTGACGACTTAGGGATATCAAACGCTTGGCTCTAATAAAGGGCAGCATTTCATTCCGTACTGATTGTGTCTCCACAATGCAATAAAATTAAGTAATACTACAAAATATTGAGCGAGAACAACATAGGAAGCGCACACCCACGACTTGGGATGAAGCCGAAGAGTGCCTGCTCCGATGTAGCATTGTTCACTGATAAAATAAACTAGCCGGCGTGCCCCCCAGTGACGTCATCAGCGTTATCCAGTGACGTCATCACTCAGCCACCGACCGCTGGGCGTTGTCGTCTTCGTTGTCCCAAGAATTGGCGGCTCTCCTGCGCAGTACACACACCCGTTAGTGTATAAACGATACGGAGCGTATGTAACGTGCACATAAAACGCGCATTGTAATCCCCTGACATATCACCAGTAAAACGCTAATATACCGGATAATTTCGTCCTGTGCTGTGCGACAGTAGTCGCCGTGACTTAGTAGTGCAGCAGTGCTGATTATTAGACATAAACAATCCAACAACTACCCATAGCCTGCACAGTGCACATTCAAGATACGAGGGGCATTTCTACATAAACCATAACATCAAACCGAGTCTTACTTATGGTAAGTGTAACACATGCACCTAGCCCCCCCCCCCCCTTCAGACCTGTCTCGTGTCCCGCGGTGGGTCGGGGACGGCTGCTCACCTGAGTACAGACACGGGTACGGTGGCTGCCGTGCGCCACATGTACAGTCCGACCAGCAGGGACCAGGTGCGGAACGGGCCCAGCACGGCTGCCGTCAGGTCGTACGACCGGTAAAAGTTGATCGACTGCCGGCGGCAGAGGGAAAGGGAGGGTCAGTCAGCGGGGGACGGGGGGGGGGGGGTATAATCAGCGGTGAGCATGTGGTGTGCTTCGGGAAGGCCCGTGAACACACCGATACGACTAGCGGGTAAAGTTTGAGGGATCAAGCAGGCTGGCGCCCACAAGCAATACCCGCTCTACGACCATGATATCATGAGATTGCCAGTCACGGAGGCTGTACTACCAGCGTACATACAGTGTACACCTAAGCTTAACTCGCACATCAGACAGCCGCAGTCGGTCCCAGCAAGTCTGTATTAACGACATTGGTGGCTAGCATACTAGCTCAGTGTGCTCTCGACAGTACAGGGTGTCTGAAAAAAGTGTCACGGTTTTGAGCACCTCCCATTTCTTAATTACATGACCTACATCATTCAAATCCTCCAGATTTAGTGGCGATATTATGGTGGCAGAAATACAAGTTCCTAGGCAAAACGGTTTTTGCACAAAATAAAAAATATCGAATTTGGGTGCTGTAGGAGATGGTATAAATACGTCACGGTCTGCCGAAGATTTCGGTAAGACTTCGGCTTTCGCTTGTTGCACCCAGCAAAATGCTCTTCAATAATTTTCTACAAATATCAGAGACCAAAAACGCCGTACAAAACAGACAATGGTATGGTAATCACTCATTAGTCTCACGACAGCGCCGTTGCCATGCCTGACTCTTCCGTCAAAAGCTGCAGTTGCTAACACCGTGCAAAGGACTTCTGACACACTGCCACAATGCGCACACCCAGAAGCTGTGCAGTTGCACGTTTGAGTAGGAACTTTAAAATTGTCCATCAGCTAGTATCCTTTCTTCTCTTCATGTGTTTCGGAACAAAACCGAGTAGAGGATTTTGCCATCAAAGATACCGTCGAGGCATGGAAACTCGCGTCGTCTGAAAATCAATCATTGTTGATGTTGCCCATGTTTTGGCTGTTTCAGCTTGCTGCTGTGCTCCAGATGGTAGTTGTACACGGTGTTCTTACCTATAGTGTTTCAAAAATGTATTGATGAGCTTGTTTCTGCCTTCTGGATTCATCAAGCGAAAGGCGCCCAGACTGTTCAGGATCAACAACAGGCTGTGACGCACCAGATCTCCTACAGCCCGAAAAATGAGCTTTTTTATTTCTTGTTCTGGTGTAAAAACCATTCTGCCTAGGAACTTGTAATTTTACCGCATAAAATGTCAAAACATTACCACTAAATCTGGAAAATTTGAATGATGTAGGCCTTATGGTTACGAAACGGGAGATATTTAAAACCGTGACACTTTTTTAGACACCCTGTACACCTCTTTGCTCGGAACTTACGGCATACAGTTGAACTAGACAGGCAAGCAGCAGACATATGTGAGGCGGCCACACACTTCGTGAGCAGCACCGGCCTCCAGCGGTGTGGGCGGACAGCCTGTAAAGAAAGGGAGGGAGGGGAGAGAGGAGGTCAGACATACGTGGGGCGGCCACACACACCGTGAGCAGCACCAGCCACCTGTGTGAGTCTGAGCTGACAGTCTGCAAAGGAGCGTAAATACGTCAGTGTGGCGTCCAGAGACTCGCTACATGGACAAAACTGGACAGAAAGTCTCTGCACAAGACAGCAGACAGACACAGATTAATTACCCCATCACGGCAGTGGGTGCAGACTGCAACAAGTGGCTAAATATGTCTAGAGGGCAACGAGTATTACTCGTACACCTCAATTACTCCCGAATCACAATATCCCTCACTGACACGACAACACGCCTACAAAGCCATTACACCATTTCCCGTGCCCTCTCCAGCCACCCCCTCCGCGTGGCATGTGAGAGCTCCCCCCGCCTGTACCTCCTGTCGAGCAGGACGCAGGTTGCGGTCAGCAGCGGCAGGTGGAACAGCAGCAGCTGCACCAGGCCGAACGCATACTGTAGCAGGCCCGGGATGAACGCGCCGCCAATGAACGTGCCCCACGCGAACACGACGCCCGTGTAGCCGGTGATGACTTCACCGATCAGCCACGGACCTGGGGAGGGGTAAGAGGGGGTAACAATGTGATTGCCTCACCAAAATATAAACACGAACCAGCTATAGAGACTGGAGGAGCAGTTCGTCATTACGCAGATTAGGATAACAAGAAAACCAAATACGATGATCATTGCGAGGACGATTATTCCAGCTGCAAGAATCTCCAAATAATAACTACCTATATGAAATCGAAATGGTTGAAAAAGCAGCCAGCACGCTGCAGAATACGCTCAGTAACAGGACGCTTTCTATTAGGTCGTTCAATAAGTAACGAACAATCGGTCATAACTTTTTCATTTCTTTATTTAACACTTTCAAACTTTCACAGATTATAGATCAGACATTTCTGAATGCAGCCTATGCCTCAAACCAGTCGCCGCCCGCCTGCACACACTTCTCCCAGCGTTCCGGCCAACGCCGGAATTCCGCCCGGAAAAACGTGTTTTCCGTCTTTTTCACCCAGTTCATGACAGCGCACATGACTTCAGCGTCGGTCTCGAAGTGTTCACCATGGAGGCCATCCTTTAGGGGACCAAAGAGGTGAAAATCTGAAGGAGCCAGGTCCGGACTGTAGGGCGGCTGGGGCATGATATTCAGCCCTGTCACGCGATCTCCTCGCGCGTGGCGTGAGACAAGTGCGGTCGGGCGTTGTCATGGTGTATGGTGATGTTGTTGACATCCGACCCGCGCCTCTTCTTCAGGATTGCTTTTCTCAGTCTCCTGCAGGACTGTGATGTAGCGGCCCGCTGTCCATAGTCCGCCCAGGTTCAAGAAAGCCCACCAGGATGACACCATGACAACGCTCGTCCGCACATGTCTCACGCCACACGCGAGGAGATCGCGAGACAGGGCTGAATATCATGTCCCAGCCGCCCTACAGTCCGAACCTGGCTCCTTCAGATTTTCACCTCTTTGGTCCCCTGAAGGATGGCCTCCGTGGTGAACACTTCGAGACCGACGCTGAAGTCAGGTGCGCTGTCAAGAACTGGGTGAAAAAGACGGAAAACGCGTTTTTCCGGGCGGAATTCCAGCGTTGGCCGGAACGCTGGGAGAAGTGTGTGCAGGCGGGCGGCGACTGGTTTGAGGCAAAGGCTGCATTCAGAAATGTCTGATCTATAATCTGTGAAAGTTTGAAAGTGTTAAATAAAGAAATAAAGAAGTTATGACCGATTGTTCGTTACTTATTGAACGACCTAATACATTTGCTAATAACCTGCGTAGCCCACGAGCCGCTGCCTCCAGCTACCAAACCCAGTGCCCATGGCCACCCGACCAACTGATGCCTCACCGAGTGGCATGTAGAGCAGTACGACGACGTGCGGCCAGTAGAGACGGTCCACGGCAGAGAACAGGTGGATTCGCCGTAGCCAGCGGCGCACACAGCGGCTGGCGGGGCGGGGCGCACGCCACCGGCCCGCTGTAACACGGAACAGGGCCAGAGAACTGAGTCACAACCGAGAGCAGCAGGAGGCGGCGGACGCAGCGGCTAGCGGGGCGGGGAGCGCACCACCAGCCAGCTGGAATACGGGGCAGACGTCCGTCAGGGAACCGAATCAAGGCGATGGAATGATGGACTGTCTTTTGAAGGGTACACCCGGGATGATGCACAGCTTTTTTGGCACATGTTCATATCACATCAAGCAAATAAACTGTGGAATCCATGATCAGTAGTAGACTTATGGCTAAAGAAACATGCATTGCCATGTCATGTAAAATTATGTCGCACTTCCTTGAGCAAGCAACAACAGTGGTCTCAGTGACACACAATCCATTTTTTGATCTTCAGATATAGATGCCTGTCGAGCCTGTGAACGATGATCAGCTATCTGTGGTAGATGCGGTAGATGACCCACTGACCTGCCACCTTGGCGTGCGTCAGTCGGATGGCCACCGGCGGCAGCACACAGACCAACAGGCCGACGGCGAAACAGCACTGCAGCTGTAACACACAGCCACATCGGTAACAATGGTCTTTTAGGTGAGGTTGTGTTTGACACCCGGCTACGATTCGATTCACTAGGTTCATTAGATGCTTATTCGTTGACACACTAGTTTAAAACGTAGTAGGTATAAAAAACATTACACTTCAGCAACTGATTGAAGCATAGCGACGATGCTCGGACATGTGAGCGTGCCGTCACTGCGCCAATCTTCGTCGTGCATATGGTGCAAGCATGAGTGATAAAGCATATTCATGAACCATAGCGGCCGATAACGACAGATGACAGAAAGACCCTGCAGCAAAAAACATCATCTGTGCTGTTTACGTGTAAATACAGTTCTGTAGTCTGTACTCACCGCTGCCGAGGCGTCCAGCATGAGCGTGATGCGCGCGAGGAGCGGGAACGACACGGTGCTGCCATCTAGGGAGAACGTGTGAGACAGCTGACGGCGGAGACCGCCCTCGTCCTCAACAGAAACCTGGCGGCAGACCGTGGAACAACATGTGGGACAGACATAGGAACTAACGTGGGACGGGCGGCGAACTAACAGTGGGACAGACCACCCTCGTCCCCCACAGACACCTGGCGGCAGGCGGGAAAACTAGCGTGTGAGATAGACGGGGGAACTAACGTAGGACGGACGGGAAACTAACGAGTGATACAGATATTCGCACTTGTCCTCCAACGACACCAGTCGATGGATTTCAATCCGGCCATAAAAGTTAATGAGATCCCAACAGCCCCGAACTGCAAGCACCAATCAGACCCTCCTGTTACCCAACAGATATCTGCACGCTCCTAAGCTACTCCGCCCCAGGCCCCGGCGCTGGATGGCCAGTCATGTTGAAGTGCCATATGCTGAATATCTCCCACCTCCATGGTGTGCAGGCCGGTGCTGTAGTCGGCCGGTCGCCAGTCACACGTGAAGAGCGGCCCGCCGGCCGGCTGACAGGGCAGCCACGGGTCGCCGTCCCCGTCCAGTCGGACCCGCACCGAGGTGATGCGGTGCAGCGAAAACGCCAGGATCCTATCGGTCAGAGAACCACAGTTAGGGGACGCCTGGTGGACAGGGCACCACACGGCGAGGGAGAACTACGTCGGTAAGAGACAAACGAAGCACCGTTAAGAGAGGGGAATGCCAAGCCATGTCGGACCAACTGGGACCATACGGTAAAGGGAGAAAATTAAGAAAACGATAATCGGTACCCAGCCATTTTCTAATAACGAACATTCAGGCCTTATGCTTCGCATAATTATTATTTCAGGGACGGTCGTCCAGCGACCAGCTCGCTGCTCGCTCACCGAATGTGCGGAATCTCCCTCATACTCCAGAGCGGCTCGTTAAGTGGCATGTTGAGGTCGGCTCGCTTGGGGTTGGTTACCACGACGACCGGCCACTGGTCGGCAAACTCGACCTCCGAGATGGAGAACAGGCCGTGGTCGATCGCCAGCAAACGGTAGCTGCACAAAAAGAGAGGACGACCGTCATATATCGAGGTCAGCTCGCGGTACATGTGGAGAAAGGAACGGCGACCGGCGCACTGTCACTAGCACTCAGGCCGAGTTTGAGCAATTGAACTACGAGCTAAGAGAGCTTGAGAAGAGAAATAACATAATGGATATCTCTCCACTAATATCTACGATACCGTGCACAAAAAGATTACACCTTACGATCACAGATTATACTAGCAGTAGCACTTAGCAGAGTAGTCGATGATCACAAACACTCAGAAATAACGACTCATAAAAAATAAAAATAAAATAACAAAAACATAAGACAATAAAAATCAGTGAATGATCAGTGATCACACCCATGTTTCCGAAAAGAGCGACCTACCCAGTACACACCTCGACACGACAAACGTCCAGCCCACCACTATAATTCCCCTTCTACACGTACCGCCTCGACTCCCGCCAGTCGGCTAGCTCCAGTTCCAGCGTGCCGGACCGCTGCCGGGTGTACATATGCTTCACAAGCCCCGCCAGAGTGTGCAGGTGACCGCACAGGTAGGCCAGCGATCCGGCCATCAGAGAGCGTACCTCCGCCGCCGGGATCAGCGTCGAGCTCGGAAAGTGGCCGAACCTGGTGACAGGGGGACGGGGGGGGGGGGGGTGACGGTGGTCAGACGGTAGCGTGACGGTGTGGAGGGACAGGCCAAGCTACTGACATAAAGCAAGCGCGCAATCTTGATGGTGGGGTGGGTTATTGAGACAACTGTAGTCCCCAAAACTCGGAAAGCGATTTCAAAGGCGATGAAACACATCGCCTATATCGGTGTCGCATGCGACCGAATCCCCGGGAAATAATAAGAAATGTAGTGTCTGAGGGTGACATCTTGTGACTCTGGGAAATATCCATTTCAACACACTCATATAAAGAAAAAATACGGCGTAGATATTCACGATGCACACTCGTCAGACATCAGCCACCACTCCATCAGACATCACCCCTTCCTCAACTAGCTCTGTTCCCCCTTCCACCACTCTGCAGCCCTCACCAGATGACGTGGTCGGCGCGTCGCGCGCGCTCCGTGTACCCCCGCAGCGCGGCCAGCTCTCGCGGCGACACCACGCCGAAAAAGTTGAACGGCCGCCGCGGCCCGGGGTCGACGGTGGCATCGAGCGCGATGAACGCGTACCGCCGCCGGCCGCGCGTCAGCTCGTACAGGTAGGAGCGCGGGTGGGCGGCGCCCTGGACACCGTACTGACGGAACCAGTTGCGCGGGCTGTCCGCCGACGGCACGTCAAACACGTCTGCCGGAGGGAGGGGCCGTCAGATGGAGGGAGGGGCCGTCAGATGGAGGGAGGGGCCGTCAGATGGAGGGACGGCGCGTGCTCAGATGGCTGATCTGAGACAGGAGATGGCAGAAATGACAGGTGTTGATTAGTTGGCCAAAGAGTACTGGAGGCTACGGTGATGTAAAAGAGAGTTCATTTAGAACAAAAGTGACTTAACTGTTTGAATCTGGAACATTACATCTCTTCAAGAAAGGCATTGCCAGCACTGACAACCAACTGTGATTCTGACACCTTACATATAGTTATTAGCCTTAAATCATCAGTTTTAATTACCATGATTTCCTCTTAAGTCTAGCCAAAATGAGCTGTTGAAGACATTTCCTTTCACAAGGATATCCTTGTATATCTGCCACTCCTTTTCATACTGTAGTGATCCCACATTGTCCTCATTCTTGGCATCAGTCAAGTCACCTGCAAACAGAGTAACATACCTCAATTAAACAAATTTGTCAGCATAGACAGACTCAAAACAACTTGTACAGGAGTACCTAAAACTTACAGTTAGATGTAAAACAACTCCATAAACAGGTGAACCATCATTGTTACCATTTAGTTCATGCTATTTGCACATACCATGGTAGTTTTTATGTGATGAGCTTTCCAATTTCACCCCTTATTGGTAGGAGGATAAGACATTAGGAAGTTAGAACATTTGGGTCTATCACACAAAGGAGACTAAGAGGTAACATCCAACAAACACCAGTTTCACTCTGCACTAACAATGGTTACAAATTGCATAGCACAACAAACCTGTAGCCACAACCAGCTCTGGCTGGATGATGGGCAGTGATCCATTCACAAATTCTTTGAGCTGTTCAATGCGGCTTGGATCTTGAAAAATGCTGATATGCAAATCTGATACCTGAAAGTCAACCATATTTTGGTTGTGTTAGTGTGTAGTCTGAATGTGTACTGAAAAATGTACCATAATTTAAGCGAAAATGCTACCAAGGTGTATCAGTTCACAATTACAGTCAAAAACCAGAAATGAAATTCTATAGATTTTGACATTTCCTTTTTAAGTTAGCTGCTAGTTATTCAAAAAAATTAATCTCAAGGGCAGGCTGCAAATATAATTGTAAACACCAGTACAAACCCATGTTATCTGTTTTATTAATTCAAGTAAAATTAAGCATTAATTGCATAGGCTAGACCTAAAAAAGCTTGAAAACTTTAATATGATCCTACAGAGTATGACTAATGAGCTGTGAAATTGGAATAACCTTACCTGAATAAACCACATCAGGTCATCTGTAGAGCTGTAGGAAAAATCTACATTTGATGGTCTATTCCAGCCTGCATCATGGTGCTGTTCCGCAGAATTTCCATGGACCGGATGCAAATGCACATCTGCTATTTCAGGACTAGTGTCTATCAGCGCAGCAATCTTGCCACAAAACAATGAAGCAAATATTCCACATGCCACGATGAACATCATTATTGCAGGAGGAGACATTGTTTAACAGCAGCATCAAATCGTCTGTATCGCCCCATACACAAATTAAGTGAAAGGTGGGTGATTGGGGTACAATTTTGATATGATATTCCCAATCAAAGTGAACCAACCAACTTGCGATTGATTGAGATCGCAAAACTTGATGCAAAAAAGTACCTATATAGGTATAGGCTTATTTTTCGCTTTAGCAGACTCTCTTCACAATTTTCTTTTTATAAGACTGCACTGTTTTTACAAGAAAAATGATGAAACAAAACACAAATTGAATTATGTTACGTGCCTACCACTGAACTCTATGTGCCTACCAAATGTTCAATATAGGACCTATTCAATTTGAGTTAGGAGTTGTCCCCTTTTATGCTAGAGCGTCGTTGATTGGCGAGTTGACTGTCAATGACGTCATTTATATCTTGTGATGGCAAAAAATACGATTTTTGATTGGTGCGAGGCTGTTGCTATGGAAATATTAGCGCCAGCTGCTTCAAGTAAAAACATAAAGCTTTGTTTCTATTTCGTCATGAACGTCTATCTATTTTGATGCCATATCTAAAATTTTGCCTAGTGCTAAAATATTTTTTTGTTTCTCCTTCGCACTTCTTCGACACGATGTCCGACACGATTCCACACGTCTGTCCTCCACACGTGTTGTGAAAGGCGTTTTGTGATTTTTATGTAGCACATTCAGGATCTCCAGTATCTACAATGAAGCCTTTAGTCCCATCAACATGCGAAACAAATTCAGTGGTTGATGCTGTTAGCAAGGGAACGGTAAGCTGATAGCGATTATGGATAATATTCGTCCAGACGGTTTTGTGTGGCAGTGTTTAGGCTGCGTAGACCATAGGTAAATAAAAAGTGAACATTTCATCAACTTGCATGTTATTACATGAGCTGAAGCTTTAGCCAGTTCCGTCAATTTCCAAGGAGTTTGGTTAACAAGACGTAAGCTTGCCAAGACAGATTTGCCTGATTCCGGTATTTGATGCTTTTTTCAATTTATTTTTTATTGTTTATTTAATTTACTAATGGGTGAGAGAAATATAACCCCATTTACTTTATTAGCTCTTGCTAGGATATGACAGCAACATTTGGATGGTTGGTTTCAGGCTTTTGTATTCTCATTGATATACACACTCACATTTCATGCTTTTCTTGTTGAAACTTGAAGCTGTTTTACAGAGGCTGGATGGAAGAGAGCTACTGGATCACAGAGAGGCAACTATCCAGTTTGGCAGAGAATATGGAACCTGCCAAATCAGGCTTGGCAACACAAGGTAGTTTTTCAGTTGACAAAGATTAAATATGGTGAATGTTTCAATTCAATTTGGCTCATTTCATTTCAGTTTGGTCACCATTTTCAGTATTTTGCAAATATAATCCAAACTATACCTAATTTAAAACATTTCTGTCAAGCATTTCATAGCTACAGCTGTCTTTTGTTGTCACAATCCTACATATTCTTTGTCATTGGGGTAACACAGTTCCAAACACAGTGCTAAGGAGGCAACAGTGCTGCTTTTCACGCCTCACCAGTTAGAATAACTCTGCTACTTGTGTACTGTGTTCAAGTTTGATCAACACACCTCTGCTCCTCTGTGACTAACTATAGGTCCTCCTCCCCTGACCCCCTACCCCCTCCCCTCAGAGCGCTGGCCACCGTGCGCGCCGAGCTGGGCACCCCGCGGCCGTCCCGGCCCAACGAGGGCACCCTGCAGGTGGCTGTGGACGTCACACCCACGGCGGCACCCGGAGCGGACCGATCCAATGACCTGACCGTCGGCCTGGAGCGGCTGCTCGAGCGGTGTCTACGCGAGTCGCGCTGCGTCGACCAGGAGTCGCTCTGCGTCGTCGCCGACGAAAAGGTGCGGATAGAACAAGGAGGGAACGATGGGTAGACAGCGTAAATCGCGGGGCCGTGACGTTGTTCGTCATGTGTTCTACAGTTACTGTGCTGTTTTCAAATTGTTTGTATGTTGTGGATGGCAGTCGATCATCCATTTGCGCTTTGACCGTAGACCGCATTTGCGCACTGTATTCACGTGTGTCCCACGCACGTTCTCCCGTGACAACCCCCCGTCTCGCCGCCCCTTTTCCCGGTTGCCAGGTGTGGCAGCTGCGGCTGCACGTGGAGCTGCTGGACCTGGGCGGTAACGCGTGCGACGCGGCGGCGCTGGCCGCGCTGGCGGCGCTCTGTCACTTCCGTCGTCCGCACGTGTCGGTGACGGGCGGCGAGGTGCGCCTCTGTCCGGCCGACGAGGCCGAGCCCGTGCCGCTGGCCGTGCTCCACAAGCCGGTGCTGGTCACATTCGCCTTCTTCGGAGACGGGTAAGACGACGGCGTGGATAGGAATAGGAAGGACAATATGGAGGGAAAGGAAGGATGGTGGGTAAAAGTGGGATGTGCTTTAGGCAGGACTCTAAGAAAAATTGCCTGGTAGAAAGACCAGCATTTAGGGAAGTTGCTGATTTTACAGAGATGATCGAATTGTACGACTTTGTCTCAGTTTCTCCCAGCAGAACGTAACACTGATTTTGTTTTCTCGGCGATTTCAGTCAGCATTTCGTGGCGGATCCGACGGAGATCGAGGAGCGGGCCTCCGAGGGGCTGCTAACGGTCGGTATGAACTCGTACCGGGAGATCTGCACGCTGCACCTCACCGGAAAACTGCTGCTCAGCAAACAACAGGTGAGGCCACGGGCATAGCAGGCTAGACTGGTGCTCAGCGAAGAACAGGTGAGAAATTGGACTTAGGAGGCTCCCTCTCCTTGAGAAACAACTGTGTGCTCCTCACTGTAACAGTTGACTCGCCTCGCTCCCGAGAGGTGAGGCAACCCAGTTTACTACGCACTGTTGGGTAGTGTGAACTCGTGGCCTCAGCAGTTTATAGAGGAGCGTGACTCCAAGACGGCCTTTTCGCCGTGTAAATGAATTCTCGTGTGGGCTCTGTACGCTGCACCCCTCACATCCCTCCTCCCCACAGGTACTGGAGTGCACCGAGCTGGCGGCGGCGCGCGCCCGCTCACTGACCTCCCAGCTGCGGCGCGCGCTGACCGCTGACGAGGCGGAGCGGACCGCGCTACACCCGTTCCCGGGTCTGGCGCGAGTGGAGCTCGAGCGTATTGCCACGGCGGCGGCCAGCGTGCGGCTGAGCGGCGCCGTGCGCGGCCCGGCGCTCACCGCCCAACAGATCAGCGAGATGGAGAAGGAGGTGAGAGGAGGGACAGGGAACAGTGGACAGGGAACGGGGATGTGCTGGAGACAGGACGGTTACGGTGAGTCCCCACTGACCTATGGACTCACCGTAACAAGTCAGTGGGGACGGGTAGGGGTAGGTAGCAGGGGTAGATATGAGATGTAACGGATTGATATTGGATGGAACGGACTGGGATTGGATGGAAAGGCGCAGGCGGAGTTGGAGTTGGAGTTGGAGTGATGCGCTGGTGACGAGAGACGAGGTCGGGGCAGAACAGGCTGTGGAGAAGGATTGAGGAACTCGCAAGGCTTTGGGCCGATGACTGGTACAGTAACTGACATTCACTCCCCTACCTCCCCTACCTCCCTCTCTCTCTCTCTTTTTTTTTTTGCTGTCTGCTCAGGTGGACGAGAAGTTATCTGTGTTCCGGCACAAGGACATGGCGGCAGCGGCGGAGATCGGACAGGGAGGTGCCAGCCAGTGGGGACCGCCGTCAGATGACGAGGGCGATCAGGACGAGATGTGGCCGCGGACTGCAGAGACACCGGCCAAGACCGCGCCGGCAGGTCAGTAGAGGAGGCGAAATGTCGAGGAGAGCTGGTCACCGTGATAAATCAGTGGAGACAGGCAGGGCAGGGGTAGGTGGAGGGGTGGTTGGTAATCTCAACAGGTCAGGGGGACAGGCAGGGGTATGTGGTGGGTTGGGGAGGCGACGTGACAAGTCCGTGGAGCGGGCAGGGTATAGGGATGGGTGGTGAGATGGTAGGCCAACGTTACGAAGCATATTATGAGGCAGGCAGTGGTAAGGCGTAGAAGAGCAGGCTGGTTCGGACACAATCGGGAGATATGTAAGTCACCGACATTGCCGCTGGCTACCCGACCACATAGTCACATTGATATAAGCTGATAGTTCACAGCATCAGCTAAAAGCTGACCGAGCTGTGCGATTTCGCATAACGTTATTATCGGGGATGCGGAGCCGTGGAAATTTCAGACGGCTCCGGCTCCGGCTCCGGCTCCGGAGAAAAAATCGGCTCCGGCTCCGGCTCCGGCTCCAGGTGAAATGTCATGGCGGCTCCGGCTCCGGCTCCGGCTCCGAGTAAAATGATCCGGCTCCGGCGGCTCCGGCTCCGGCGGCTCCGGCTCCGGCGGCTCCGGCTCCGGCGGCTCCGGCTCCGGCTTCTACTCAGTACATCCCCTATGCGATCAATTAAATACGGGTGGAAGAAAAAAGGCGATGGGATTGGTACACGTTGCTTCTGTACCTATTTGTATAACAAGGCTATTTTGAATAACAGATTGTTTTACGCCTTGTACTGTCAAACCGAACTAGGTAAATAATTGTTTCCTCTTAACCCTCGCCCGCACATGGGGGGGGGGGGGGGGGGTTGCCACCCCCCAGGTAGTTTTTCTGCTCTGCACTCAACATTGTTAGAGCTAGGAGCCTGATTTTTGGTATAGCTGCTTCTCTATCCTTTTTTGATGTGCACTGAAAATTTCAAATATCTGTGGTTGTTGGTTTCGGAGATACGACCTTGTTATTCAGGTCATGCCATGACCCAAATGGCCCATTCTCAACATCTTGCGTTGGCTATGGGCCTTGTGAGCTTTTGACACCTTGATTTCGGCATTTTTTGCCAGTCTTACCTCCCACCTATCATGGAACATGTTGTTCGACGATTTACAGATGTCAAGGTCAGGGTCAAGGTCAACCTAGGTCATCAAAATAATTGCGTTTCAGGCAAGCTGAATTTACTTTTCGTGAAGTTTTTTGACTGCATTTTTGGTAAAAGCTTCTCAGATCATGATTTCATGTAATATGGACACATAAACACTCGGTGCACAGTGCACACATCAGTATACACACAGACACACACAGACATACAAACACATATAATTGACCTTTACCTAACTTGACCTGAAATGACCTCAGCAGCAAAATTATGGTCGGGTAGTGTTACAAAGAGGTTCTAGCTGGCTTGGCACCAGAAAACGTCATCGTCATCGGTATATGATAAGCAGCGCACTTGATATCCAACAGTGACCCAAAACAGCAACATTTTTTAGTTTGACCTGACCTGGAAGGTCAATGACTGACCTGAGAAGGTAAAACTGGGTATCATTGGATTCGTCTCTTCCCAAAGAATCTTTTTGGTGTTTACAGCGAAGCTCTATCTCCAACAGGAACGAAATGGCGCGGGGGTGTGTGTGGCAACCACCCCCCCCCCCCCATGTGCGTTCTAGGATGGGAAAATGGCATGTGCGGGCGAGGGTTAAGAAAAGGAGCCGGAGTCGCCCCCTTTTTTGACGGCTCCGGCTCCGGCTCCGGCTCCGGGCTATATTGTTTCACGGCTCCGGCTCCGGCTCCGGGCAAAATATGCCGGCTCCGGCGGCTCCGGCTCCGGCTCCGGCTCCGGCTCCGCATCCCTGGTTATTATTCTTAACAAACTGGTAAAATAAAAATTTACGGTGTTGCGATTGCGCGGACCGTGGTATGCATTTTCAATCTTATGCATCCGAAGTACTCCTATAATGCTCAATAGGCCTCACGCATCGACCAATATGCAAATGTTTTAAACCTCATTTCGCCTACATTCAGACTTGGTAAATCCCGTGAGCCTAGTTGAGCCGTCTATCCCTTCCAATAAGGCCGCTGCCGGAAAGATCAAGGCGAAAGATCTATCAGACTCCCGTAGTGGGTTTTCAGTGGCTGGCCGCATAAGGTTGATAATGCATGGCATGTATCGGCTCTCAGATGTGAAGAGGTGATTTCAATCGAACTTAGCTTGCCGGAACTCTAAGGAGCCATAATGGGCATCGGACATCCGCTAATTCCGATGGAAGTGATACCGCCATGGCGGATAGATCCAGCTACTAAATTCTATGAGATCAAGGTGGATGAGACGTCATGACGTCAGCTAATAGTGGGATTTGTTCAGTACTTATTCCTGTTCGGTCGGCAACATAAGATGTCAGACAGGTTAGTTGTATCCGGCTTTATACACACCTGTGGTACGCCAAGTAAGTGAACATCTGACGTTTCCCCAAGAAGCTATTATAATTGACGTATCTTCAGACCAACAATGACGTTACGGCTTTGATTTAGTTTCCGTCGCAACCCATGGAGCGCATTGTGCCAATATTTCATTATTTCACTACTCTCGTATAGCTTGCTCATATAGGTTATCTTCATTTTCATAAATTGATTTCACAGACCACTCATCCGTGACCTCTCACACCTCACGTTGACCTCTGACCCGTGACCTGTGACCTGTGTGCCGGCAGCTTCGGACTCGGACAGCGAGGGTGAGCAGACCGTGCTACACCCAGAGGACCTGGAGCCCCACGCCGAGCCCGGCACCGGCAAAGGCCTCCGGTGTCCCATGCCGGTCCGGTAGTGGGGTGGGGCCGGGGCGCGGGTGGGGGGTCACTGGGACGGGAAGCGGACGTGTAGGGGAGAGTGGGGCACATTCGTTTTCAGCAGTTTATGGGAACACGAGTGACTGCACGAGCTCAAGGTAAATTATGGAAATATGTCTATCATTGCCGCCCTTCGTTCACCGTAGAAGACAACACTGTACCTGCTGTCATGCTTGATAAAAACGCAAATTTGTAATATTCGTGAGCTTTCCAAACTTTTCTCATATCATCCATTTTCGTGATCCTGACTCGGAAATGTGGTTCAGCTTTTCAAAATTGGGGGTGAAGAAGCTCACTCTATTCACGGAACTGCTGCAAACTTGTTTGTTGAAAAAGTGTCATTTTTTCAAAAAGAAATTTTGAAATATATTACTAATAACGTTGTGGGGCAGGTTCGTGTACGCACTGCCTGGGGGCACATTCGTGCATATTTTTTTTTAGTTTTGCGATTTATGACTTTATCTGTAGTAGGTTTCTCTAATGACGCTCGCCTGACTCAGTCTCGACTGCTTGCGACGTCGTGACGAGCAATTCACGCGAACTTGGCGAGGTCACGGAGGCCGGCAGTTGGCACATTCTTGTTGGCCAGCCCATTCTTTCTACATATGTTGTGCAATGCATTCTTGTCGAAAGGAATCGAGTGAAATGACCCCCTGCCAATTTCCTTTGGTAAATTTCTGGTAATGCCCGGTAATTTCTCGAACTTTGCAGGGTGAACGGAAGTGCCCCACCTCTTGAACGAATGTGCACCATAGGTGGGGCAGTTTCGTGCAAATGTTCAGAGTTATTAAAAGTCATTTTTTCTAATGGAAGCAATAATTTTAGAGGATAACTTTTAAAGAGGAAAACTATTTGCAATAGTTCCTTTCCATACTACAATCAACAATTTTGCCATTGCACTAACCAAAGAATAGATATATGGGTTTATCCATTTTTTGCACGAATGTGCCCCACTCTCCCCTACTCAGCTGATGGTGTGTGTGGTGTAAAGGCCGTCAGCTGGGGGAATATGACGGCCAACAGTGTGTGAGCGTTGAGCGGCAAGGTGACCGCACCGCAGCGTCATATCGAACTAATGCGAGGCTCACCACAACTCTCATGTGTGCCGGTACGTAATTGTTGGCCTTTTTAAAATTGAGAACGTCTTTTGCCGTGATGGTTTCGTGAGGATGGCACGGGCGGGCGGCGAATTGCGAAGCGAGTGAAAAGCCGGTAGGTCATATCTTAAAAAGCCGGTAGGTGTCGCCGAGTCGCATGTGGCCCGTCATTCATTTGTGCTCCTTGTTCGCGAGGAACCGGCCTGTACTATGCACATTTGTGTTCGCCAATACACCGTTTCATTTAGACAGAGCTTACGGTCTACGGGATTTTCTGTCTAGCTGAAGTCTGTTACATAACCTAGTCGCAACCGGTATTTCATCATAAAGCTTTTATGTTCACCAATAAGGAAATTCACCGAGCAATGCTGCTATTTCCCTGGGTTTTATGTTAATGGATGCGTTTGGTTTCTTAAGCATGTCAATATGTGATCGTCTGATGTCACGGTATCGACACGATTACTGAACTGATAGCGAGCCAGAGCAAAGCGAGCGATTCCGCTGCCAGCAAAAACACTGGCTCCCGCCCTCTCTCTCCGCCCCTCTGCCTCTGCACACGTCCCCGTCGCCTCCCTCCCTCTGCCCACGGCCCCCGGCTCCCAGCGGCGGCGCCCCACCCCCTCTGCCGACCGTGACCCCACCGCGATCCGCCGCGCCGTGCGCAGTCGGAATCACCGCGCCGCGCCGCCGCCGGCGGAGGAAGACTCCGGCCGGCCGACGAGCTGCCAAGGCCGCGGCGGCCGCGCGGCGGGAGGTGTGCCGCGCGCCGGCCAACAGCGAGCTCCGTCTAACGGTGCCGCGGCTCGGCTCAGGCACGGTCGGACGGTCACAGCTAGCCCGGCCGGGAACGGACCGCGGCCGTAGTGAGTCCGGCTGGCAATGGTTCGGTAGATGGACCGCTGTAGGTCCGAGTGAGCCCTACTGGGCGGTGTGGGGTGTGACTGCGTTTGTTGTTGGCCCAGCGCCAACGGAAGACCTTAGCCACTTTAGGAGGAAATGAAACCCGAAGAAAGGCAGTATGCTAGCGCGTTATTGACAGTGAGGTTACTTTAAAACCTTTACAGTGTGGTCGTATTTAACTTTTAAAGAGTGAAATATATCAGCAACTACAACCAAGTCAGCGTCCGTGCTCGCAATTTCAGAATCTCTCTACCGCGCCGGCACCATTCCTGCATTCTATCGCGCCCTTCAAACGCAGCTCGATATTCACGTCTCTGTATTGCTGCTGCCGCGCGCGGCGGCGTAATGCGGCGAGTTGGCACAACTGCGGTACAAGATCTGCGCTAGGACGGGCCCATAGAGAACCCGGGGACAGGCCGGACACTGCTGTGGCAGGCCAGAGTCCGGCCGGCATCACGCCCATGGCCGTCCGTTCATAGGACTAAATGGCGTAAAACACAAATATACAATATACACCGGCATCACAATGAGTAGGGTGGTTACAGCTCCGCTCATCGAACAGCGAGTAGAGAGCGGTGGGACCGCGCGGCCCCGTACGGGACGCACGGCTAGTATACACGCAAACGGCTCACCGGATAAAGTCCAACAATCGGCCCATTAAAGCACTGTTGATACCGGCCGTGAGAGGCGAGTCGGTAGCTTGATAACGGGGGGGGGGGGGGGCGCACCCACAGACCAAATCGGGGTCGACACCGCGCCAGGCCAGTTGGGAGAGGAACAATACACCATTAAATGATATAATACTCGCTTCTGAATTCGGGATAAACACATCACATCGCAGTCAACTTCGAACGCGGGCCGTCAGAATCTCACCGTCCGCAGATCCTGTGTGACGTCACATAATATCACGTGCCGCGCGCCACGTGTTTCTCACCAGGTCATGTGTCATCCTCCCGCAGCATCCTCGCGCCGCGCAGTAGAGAGCGCAGTCATGGCACGCCGACCGACCTGGGCCGGCTCCCCGACATCCCGTGCCCACGTCATGATCCACATCACCGTCCAATATCACCGCACGTCAGTCGCGTCACCGACCGGGGCCGTCAGTGACGGTCCGCGGCCGGTCGGCCGGTCAGCAGAGCTCCACAAAGGTGGCCGGGAACAGGCCCGTCTTGCCCGTCTTCTCGTGAGTGCCCTTCATCCAGCCGTCGCTGCGCTTTTTGTGCACGAACACTATGTCGTTGGCACGGAGTTCCAGCTCCACGTCCGAGCTCGGGGGGTAGTCCATCGTACACCGGTACCTGGGGCAGGTCAGGTCGGGTCAGTTAGTGTGGAACCTGACCTCGATATTTGTCCGAGCACGGCTCGTAACTTTCACCGGCTCTTGGGTACCTAGTCAGGTCAAAACATCCCACATGGTGAGCGGTAAGTCGCACCAGACACAATACCAATACAATATAACACAATATGTACACAATATGTAGAGGCGTTCCACAGAACCCCCGACCCGCCATCGCTGCCAATCTACACATCCTGCCGTTCCTCCCAGCAGCGATAAAAATGGCCACCACTACAGCGTGGCTGATCTGAGCGCAAACGGTATTCACTCATGAAATGGCATGAAAATCACGTCACAACATTATGACGATAAGTAAGTAATACGCCGACACCAGTCAAAGAAGATCCGCATTGACGGCTGCAGGACGGCACAATATCCTGTTCCGGTTCGTGTCCGGTAACGCCAGTCTAACTGTGTAAGGACGCCAATATTTCCAATAACTCACCGTTGGCAATACGGGTGGTTTCGTGGATCGTATCATTGGAACATTTATAGTTCGTCCAGGATGACATGTAACACATACGCTAGGATCCTCAATCCTCATTGAAACACAAAGGTATCAATATCCACCAGGGATTCCTGGAATAACACGCCTCGTATAAGGAAAGGAGAGGAAATATTGTCTTCTGACTGGGTTAAATGCAGAGGGTAAACAGGTGAGAAAGAACGCACCCCATGGTAACGCAGGCGTCCTTTAGTGACCGGGTAATGGGTATCCAGAGCGGTGAATGACGCTTTGGACGCTCACCTTTGAATGACGAGCGGTGTGGGTGCCCGCGAGTGCTTCTTGGCGTCTGAATGTGCCCGCTCCGGTCTGAGGGCACACAGAGGTCACAGGTTAGTGCGGGTCAGAGCAGGTCAGACGTAAGACCAGGTCACAGGTCAGGTCACAGGCCAGGTCACCGGTACCGTAAAACACCCGGCACAGGCTACAAGTCATCAACAACACGGGAACAGGTTGTTATAGGCTTAAAACGGTACCGTCCTGCCACTGCTAGTCAGGGGTCACCATCCTCGCAGGTCAGCACAAAGGTCACGCCAGGTCAAACGCAGGGTCAGGACTGACCAGAGGTGGGGGTCATTGGCCACTAACGGGTGATTGGCAACGGGTGATCGGGTTACACCTCGACACAAGGCAATGAACTCCAAAACACCCTAGCTGTTCAGGCATTTGCCACGCTTGCATCATCTACGTTTGCGCGTCGCTATTCTCTAGCTAGATGATGCAATGTCTACGGCCGGGCCCTCTGGTCTCGACAAGAGCAGAACGTCTCTACTGTCCTTGGGGTCGGGCACGACGGTCCCATTTGCATTGGCTTAAATGCAAATACCGTGGGGTTTATAGGAGTTGTGTCCAGCCATGGGTGACTTAGACCTGACTGGAGTTGAGCGAGCGAATCGAAGGAACGAATGGTAATACCTACCTCGCACACCTGCGTCTTTAATGCTGATACGATTAATACGGCATCTTAAATACATGACGAAAAAACAGAGACAGCTATAAAATAGATTTTATAGCATTACCACTTACCAGCTGGTAATGCTCGCATTGAATAGTTATAATGGTTATAGTGGTTAGGTTGGCCCAGCCGGCATGCTTGCGAACGATTAACAACGAAATTAAGACTTTATTACGCCCTGATCACCCATCCGCAATGGCTCATTCGTGGTTAGAGAGAAAGATCAGCCAAATATACGCAGCTTGGTATTTTGACTATAACTGGCTGAACGGCCAGAAATAGCATTTGGAAAATATGAAAACAGTTGCCCAACCACGGAAACGGCTTGGTCGTTTTCGAGCCACTCCACAGGGTTACATATCTGCCAATGACCCTAGGATCTATGTAATAAAAGATATATCATAAAGATATGAAAGCACGTCGAACACAGCGGGGCATCGAGTCGTTGCCGTGTCAAGCGATAACGGTTTCGGCGGTAGCAGCCGACGCGGGCGGAAAACGTTCGACAAGGATGAGATTCGAACTCACGCGGGGAGACCCCATTGGATTAGCAGTCCAACGCCTTAACCACTCGGCCACCTTGTCCTGAGAGCACAAAGCGTCGCATTATGGTATAGTTTGGTGTTCGTGTTCCGGACTACCCTGACACGGTGGTATCAGCATCACGGTGTTACCTGGTGTTCCGGTTGGCGATGATGGTATTGCCGCCGCCGGCCGGTGAGCCGGAGCCCCACGATCGGACCCGCTGCAGCGGCCGGTGGGAGTTGGCGGACCGGCCGAGCGACGGACCCGACGGACTGCCAACAAATAACGGCAGGTCAGATGGTAACAGGGTAACGAAAGGTCAGACGGTAAGGGGTAACGGACAACGATGAAGTCACACGGTAACTGGTAATGGGTAACGGCGGGTCAGATGGTAACGGGTAATAAGTCAGACATTGACGGGTAACGGGTCACAGGTAACGGCAAGTCAGACGGACTGGTAACGGTTAACACCGGGTCAGACGGGAACGGGTAGCCGATAAGCCAGACGGACTGGTAACGGCAAGTCAGACGGACGGACACATCGCCATACACGGTGGAGAATCCACACGTCCAGCGGACCGTGGGTTGGCCTCAGTACGGCACCGAATACGGCCTGTCACCGTCACAATCCGTACCAAACGTTTGTTTGCAAACACTTAAACGGGCCGGTTACAAACGACTTCGACTCGGCATAACCGACACTAAGCAGTAACCAGCCACCTTTTAGCTCCAGTGTCGGCGTGGCGTTCAAACGCCTGAAACTGATACCCATTAGTTTTAGGAGACCTACTGGAGACCTATAAGGAGAAGTTTAATGAGATCTACGGTAGGCTGGCTGCCAATTCACGGAACAAACTGCTTTGGTAATTGATATCCTCACTTCTCATACAGCGACGTTCTTAAATCACTGCTCCCTCGTCTGATTGTTTCCCCAGTTGACGAGCTCTCCGTCGCTCACTAAGGAGACAAGTCCTCGCCAGGCCCAGGTAAGGCCATTCAGGTCAGTCGAGTAGGTCAGGTCAGTCCCTACTCCCTCTGACCTCAGGTGTATAGACGGCGGTTCGACCCCTCCCCACTGACCTGAGGTGTATGGGCGGCGGGTCGCCCATTCTCCACTGACCTGAGGTGTATGGGCGGCGGGTCGCCCCCTCCCCCTACACTGACCTCAGGTGTATAGGTGGCAGGTCGCCTCTCTCCCCCCCCCCCACCGACCTGAGGTGTATGGGCGGCGGTTCGACCCTTTCCCCCGCTCCCTCCCTACACTGACCTGAGGTGTATAGGCGGCGGATTGACCCCCCCCCCCCCACTGAGCTGAGGTGTATGGGCGGCGGTTTGACCCTTTCCCCCGCCCCCCTCCCTACACTGACCTGAGGTGTATGGGTGGCGGTCTGACCCTTTGCCCCGCTCCCACCTACACTGACCTGAGGTGTATGGGCGGCGGGTCAGCACTGCCCTCGGGTGCCGGCCGAGGGGTGGCCGGGGTCAGCCGCTGCTGGGCCGCCTTGCTCGCCGCCGGATCCCCCTGGCACACCGACACAAGAGGTTACGATATCGGGTGGGTAAGTACGATAATACAGGCCATTGCGTGTGATATTGGAGAATCGAGATTACAGCTCAGTGCTCTGATATCAGACTGATGGCATCAGTACATAAAGAAGCATGAGACTTGAAAGCGGATGACTCGAGAATCAGTTACAGCATGATATTTCACAATATGGTAATATGCCAAGAACAAGTATTTATCAGCAACGTCCAAAGATAAGTTTGGGGCGTAAAGCAAGCCAGTGCGAAAAACGCATATACTTTACACTGCAAAAACACCTCGGGAAGGAATGACGAACACAAGTTTAAGCTCTGAGGTGTCTGACGCGGAGCAAGCAGCCGCCTAGCGCCGTCATAAGGTGCTCACCTGGCCGCTCTGCGCCGAGGACACCGGCGGTGACGGCGGCGGCGGCTCACCCTCCCTGACCGACGGCCGCACATGCGCGCTGCCTGTGACAGGGGACGTGTTCATAGGTCAGCGGGACTGTACGGCGGGGAGCCGTGGCCAGGGCAGGGCGGAGTGGTACCCAGGGGCACAACCCGTCACAAAGGGCGCTAAAGGTGGAGACATTCCAGCAGCTTTTCTGGTGGATAGTAACACAAACTTCTTTATGTGGATGACGCTTGTAACCGGTCCCGCTTATATCCAGTAAAGCGTTACAGAGTGGCAAGCATGAGTAATCCATCATAAGATAAGAACCAAGAATGCTTGTGCAGTTACCAACAACAAGGCATGTTAGTAACGGATACTAAGACACGGGGTGGACGGATAATTTGTCATGCAAATCACAAGAAAAATAAAGGAACAAGAAGAAATCCTGTAACGTATTCTGCAAGATCTTAGCTTACTAGCCAAATTTTAGAAGCGCTTCTTTTGACATTTGGCATAATTCGTCTCTGAGTACTCCGCCAAAGCCGTGTGGTTTTTCCGGACGCATTAATCCCGCCCTGTCTCGGCTAAGTCGGTCCTCTCCGCTCGGTGGAACGCGTCTTACCGGGCGGTTTGGGGCGGTGCGGCCGGGGCGGCGCGGCGGGCGGCGGCTCGGCCCTCTGGGCGGGGGCGGGGGCGGGGGCGGTGGCCGCCCGCAGTCGCGCAGGCCGCGCCGGCAGCGGGGGCGGCAGCGGCGGCGGCAGAGGTGGTACTGTGCCCGGCGGCTTGGCGGCGGAAGACAGACTGGGAGGACGGCACAAGGGTCAGGCACAACGAGGAAACGAACGTGTGAAAACGACAGCAACTGCGCAGGCGAAAACTCCGTATGACAACGGCATTCTCATCTTCAACTGAGACAATTAACTGGCTATGGACATAAAACAGTGCAATATTTCTTCTAAACCTGTAAAATCACGTCGATATAAAACACTGCTACAAAGGTTCTTACACAAGTTATCAGTTAGCGAGCGAAGCTACATAACCACTAATTCTGAATAAACCAGGGTAACCCCGATAAAGGATCGGATGATAAGACGTTACGCTACACACCGGTCCATACCTATTCCTAAATCTACCAGGAGTAGCCGTCATATGCAGCCAGCACGCGCACGCCGCACATGGCGAGTGAGGGGGGGTGCATAGCAGTACTGTCTTCTGTCCAGTCCCGGAGGCCGGGACATCTGGGGCCCGCATCATACATCAGTTCTACACCTACGAACCGTTTCAGAAGCAACTCCCTAACGTAGCGACTATCACTGAAATCCTTTCGAAATCCTTATATTGATTACATAAATCAATTTAATTGACGTCTTATTAGAAAAAACATCCACTCGATTTCATGGTGGATGATCCACGACACGGTTAAGTTGCATCAGCCCGGTACATTTTGTGATATAACAGCGGCCAGCCGGGCGACTGTGCCGTGAGCGTCACTGGTAGGACCGTCCCGCACGCGAGGTCCGATCCTGTCCTAGCCCCTCCACCCCTCCCCACGGGAAACGGTGTATCGGAGTCGCATTCCGGTCGACCAGTCCGCCCAGTGCAGTGGCACGCCCACCAGCCCCGGCGGCGGCGCGGGGCGGTGGGGGCAGGGGCGGTAGTCGCTCACCATCCGTGCGTGCGCAGCATGCTCTGCGCCGGGCTGTTGGGCTCCACCAGGGTGAGAGGAAACACGCCGGTGCGGTGGCCGATCTTGCCCTCGGCCCAGATGGAGTCCACCGGTCGGATCAGCGTCACTATCTCACCCTGTCAGCGGCGGGGGACGCAGGCGGTCAGACTGGGCGACACGGGGTCAGAACGGGTCACAGGTTCAGGGTGGGTCACATAGGGTAAGGCGGGGTCACCGGCACCGATAAAAGAAGGCACTAGGCAGAGGCAGATCACAATCACTGATATGCCACAGCGGGTCAAAATAAAGTCACCGTGGCCTGGGCTACAACGGACTGCTAACGTTTCACTGCTCAGTTGTCAAAAAAGAAAGCTCACGAACAGAGACCGATTCACTTCGCTGTTCGCTCATGGTCAACCAAACAGCCTGGCTACCTCCACTTCAAACGTGAATGTATGATAGTACCTGTAGGCTCTTCAGCCATGCATACGCAACACCCCGATAAGCCTGTCCCAAGGCCGGACCGACCGTTCCCCACGGAACGTCACCATACATCGGGCCGCGTCGGGTAGTGCGGCAGTCACCGTCCGATTCTAGCCCAAGCACTACGGTTGCCCCTTCCCCAGTCTTGTTTCATGACACACCGGACACACCGATGCCCAGTCGTTACCAGGTGTTCGCGCTCGGTTTCCATGGAAACGTGAGAATAATTGTTCATTTGGCTTACGTTTCCATGGAAATTTAGCGTGGCTGCCAGTGCCGGTGTCTGTTGAGGGGTGGCGGGTAGTGTGTTCTACGATGGATTGTATGGTGGGTGATATGAAGGGTGGCGGATGGCTGGTGACGGTATGGTAGGTGACAAATGACGCATGGAAGATCAAGTGTGTTGGGCTTGGGTGTTATATGGCGCGTGATATCAAAGGCGGTGTTTCATGATGGTTGTGTGGTGGATAATCTACGGGGCGGCGGATGGTTACTTTTGCATGATAGTTGATGGATGGTGGGTGGTATGACGGGGGCCAGGATGGCTGGTGTGTGGTAGTTGGTTGACCAGTAATGGCCGAATGCCGATGGCTGTTGGGTGTCGGTATGACGGACGGTATGAGGGGTGGGTATCGCGTGCGATGTCAGGCGAGTCAGTCGATCGTCGTTTCCCGCCGCCCCGATAAGGCGCGCACCTAACGACCGGCCCGGCAGCCGACCTTCCCCGGTCCCTGGAACTGAGCCCACAGTGAGCCGCCTTTCCAGGCGCTCCAGACTTAAAATTGGGGCTCTTGTCGACCGGAATAGTGTTATCGATATTTTTGGAATATGGAACAACTTGCGACTTATACTTGTTCCCTTGTCTTCTTTCCAAAATTGCTGCACATAACGTAGCTGAACACGTTTTACAAGAAACCTGAGCATACAATTTAAAAATACATACAATCTATATAAAAATGATTTTGTGTTAAGTATTTAGCTTAAAGGTAGTGTGCCAGCTTTCTTGGACCGTATGGAGTTAATGGCCCAGATAAGGAGAACCGGATTTTTAGAACTTATCCATACCTTCAAAACTCATGGAAACGTCTTAAATTCTTCAAATTTTGAGTACCCCAGTGCGAAATTCGCCCCGACGGGTTGTCGGTCGTACCCCAACCACACTTCACACCACTATGAACAATAAATGCACACACTGAAATCGCTATTACCGATATGCTCATCCAATCAAGTTTCGATAAACCCGTTCATCATCATCTCCTGCGGTTTCGAACACGCCTGTTAGGTGGCTTCTGATGCTCGTCGAGGTCGGAATTTCCAAATACGCGTGGTGCGTCGGGCCGCGCGCTCTGACTTCGGCCAAGAAAAATGCGTCAGCTGATCATTGTCATTTCTGCCACTTGCGTGTGGTGAAATGGGGTCATAACTTATAAGACGGCTTTTTCATATCAATTATTTTACATAAAATCATATTTCAAACCATAAATAATGTTCGACAGCCAAATAAAAGAAACAATACAATACGGGCTTACAGTTAAAGGCTCGACATTGTGTTGTCTACGATTAGACAGCTGATAACTCATTCCCGTACAGTATATCTAAAAAGTATGTCCCCTGGTTTGGCTCTCCCACAGGAGGCGAATCGGTAACTTGGCTGAATCCCAGTTGCGGCACCCGGCCGCCAGGGTCGCTGCCGCGCGAGCGGCCTTGACCGCTCGCATGTCATTGGCAGTTCGGTCCCTCCCCGTCTATACCGAGGTGGGGAGGGGAGAAGAGGGGAAGAGAGGGGAGGGAGCGGCATCCGCTCGGCACTTGGCGATACCTGGCTGACCCCGCGCTCCCTCGCTGACCTTTGTCCTGCCCTCAGGCGAAGCCCGACTTCCTGGCCTGTAGCGGCCCAGCGGAAAACCGAGCTCCCGGGGCGCGACTCCATTGGCCCAATCTTATAAATGGAATGCTGTCGTATTCACGGCATTAGATAATATTAATAGTGATACCAGCAGTGGATGTGGTAAAATACAGTCCAAAATAAACGAAAGCACTCGATTCGTGCATAATGCGCCCTCCCATTCAAATAAGCCCACCCACTTCGATAGATGGTGTAGTTTCTTAGGGCGTAAAAGATGCAAAACACTACCGATGTTTTTAGCTCGGCCACTGGGACCGACAATATACAATTGACTGAAATGCATGAAAACCATTTTGTATTTAGGTAATAGCCGTTTTCTGCACCCAAACTTTAGCCAGTGACGCCCTGTCCATTCTAAAGCGTTTATAAGATTGGTCCCAGCACCCGATTTTATATGAGGAAGTCGTTTAAAAAGCATCTTATTTCTAACGAATTTATTATTATGGCCACTTTTACAGGACGTCTATAGAGCTTTGGCTTTTACATTTCTTCCTCGTTCAGGAGAAACGTTTTAACCCTCACCGGACCTTCAGGTTTTCTGAATACCGAGGGGACGTTGGGGGTTGGAAGTGAGGAAACAACCCCCTTCGCCGATTCGCCCCTAATTGAGCTAGAGCCTCACGAAAGAAACGATCGTGTGCGTCGTTACGAAATGCAGCGATTGGTCTCCGATTTAAGGACCAGGGTCAGCCGATGACTTCGGAGGTCAGGTCAAGTGGCCCAAGGCACAGGTTCGGTTTTTGGTGAATAACTTCGCTAAAAATGATCGCAGATCCGCGATTTTAGCAGCATCGTGTTTGTCTAGCTCAGGCCGTGTCGAATGGTATACTTTTTCTTCGGGTGAGATCAACTTAACCCTCGCCCGTATAGAGGGGGGGTCGAACGGACCCCCCTCCCTCGGTTTTTCGCGAATAACTCGCGTAAAAAGCGGCCGATCGCGACGAAACTTTCGTTACCCTCGCGTATATCAATTTTACACCCACCCTGAAATTCTAATGACCCTGACCTTAATGACCTTTGACCTGCGACCTACTTTTCGAGACCATGTTTGGCCGGAATCGCGATTCGGCGTATGTCGGCTCGCATTAGCGGCGCGTTTGCAGTCTTTTCGTGGTCTTAAGCGTTCAAACATGGGATATGATGTTGCTTCCATGCATTAGGGTGGGTGTCAAGGTCACCGGAAAGTCAGGTCAGGTGATTGACCTTTGATGACCTCGGTTCACTTTTTCGAGTTTTACATGTTTCTAGGCCAGTTTTAGGAGCTGAATTTGAATTTAGCAGCCATATGAACATTAACGAAGTATACTTCGTTAATATACGAGGGCACCAAAATACGAGGGCACCAAAACTATAGTTTTGGTGCCCTCGTAACATGTTGCGAAGCTGTCAGAGGCGGTTGCCACCTACTACGAATAGGGCAATTCCACGACAAATCACCTAATTTTTTTCCAATTGTTCACCATGACCTCTCCAATTTTGCTCAAATTTGGCATGTAAGTTGACCTATGGGCACTACTTCGTCCCATTAAATTTTTAGTCTCTAGGTCACAGGGGTCATGAGATATGGGTCATGCAAATTTTTAGGTTTTCCGGAACATTGAAATATAAAGTATTTTTTATCTCTGCAACGGTTCACCGGATCAAAAAAAGTTATATATGAAATAAGAAGCGCAAAGGCTGGTGCGTCTAGCAAAAATGTGAACGAAACCCCAAGGTCATTTTTTGACCCTTTGACCTCGTGACCTTTTCTTGACCCCGTGACCTTTCAAATTTGTCCTATTTTAAAAATTCTGTTTTTTTCTATCAGAGATGTCTTATCCATGCTCTTAATAGTGGTATGTGATTTGGTTGGTATATCGGACCCGTTGACCTCAAACTGAGGTCAACAATGTGGTCATGACCTGACATGAAAATGACATCTGCCGAGAACGTCGAGAATCATAGGCAATATGGGTGTCATATGAAAGCTTACTTCACGGAGAATACATTGGTGGTGTTTTTGAGTAGGTATGGGCCGGGTCAAGGTCACATTAGGTCAGTGACCTAACACAGCATTGTGTTCTTTGAAGGTGGCGTATTTAATTTGTTTGGTAAGCCCAGTGATCAGCACACAATAAAAAAGGAAACAAAACGTCATAAAACACCGTCTGTCTTTACTTTCAAAAAGCACAGATAAAATGCATTCACCCATATACACACACTCGCACAAACACACACACATACATACACCTTGTTCGAGGAAGATCTTTCAAACAAACCTCAGTAACACACGCGGTGTGAAGAACGAGTCTTAGAAGACTAGGAGAGCTTGAAGGCTGCTATGGTGTGGGAGTCGAGCGGTACAAAGCGGTGAAACGTCCTGGTACACTCGGGGGGCAGATTGATGTTCCACCACTCCCTACCCATCGGGCTCCCATGGATCAGCAGTGGCTGCTGCCAGTGTTGCCTGCCATCAGCACTGCTCAGCACTGCCTGCCAGTGCCAGTGCTGCCAGTGCTGCCACTGGCAGCAGCCAGTGCTGAGCCATGGGAGCCCGATGGGTATAGGGAGTGGTGGAACATCAATCTGCCCCCGAGTGTACCTACTACCTACCCTTCACCGTGCGGGCACTTGTGAACCGTTCTCTTTCATTTTCGTCTTCGTTCAATAGGCGTTGCCGAAACGAAGAAGAAATGCATTTTATCGGTAAGGTGGTCCTCACAGTATTACCAATACCATCGCATGCGCTTTTGCCATGCGAGGTGGCAA